TATTGTACGCGAGGAGCTCTGAGGGCCTACCATGAAATGTTTTACAAAATTTTTGAGCCACACAAGACAAAAGTTTAATATTAAAATTACATAATACAATACATACAATTTAAAAATTTAAATATTTATCTTTTTATTGAACTTTGACTTGATTTATGACGAACTTAAGCTCCATATACTGGGCCGATTTTGGTATGAACAAAAACATTAAATTTGATTCAGAAAATTCGGAATTTCATTTCATTGTAGGCCCCCTGGTATAGCAGGCTATTGTAACCGTTTATCAAGCCGGTCGTGTGTGAGGGAGACTTTGTACAAAAGTCGATTGCTTGGGTACCTCTGTCCCATTCGTGTTTCAACCGTAAAACAGTTGTGTTTGCATGGCTGTGTTTCGGTTTGAAGGGTGGGATATGGCGTGAATTTACTGCGTACAGAGGAATAACACCTGAGTCTTCAGGAATGGCAACAGTAATGGGCGAAACAGTACTCTAACTCTGTTATGTCCATGGTACTGCTCATGTCTATAGACGACGATTACCACTTTCCATCAGGTGGGCCGTCAGCTTGTTTGACATTCTAAGTTATATAAAAAAAAAAAGTCTAAACCGTTTATCAAAATGTGCTTGTTTGTCACTGTCGTGGTATAAAATGACTAAAACAAGTCGTCAGTTTGTCTGGCAATCGTTATAATGTTAAGACGATTTGATCTATTTCATATTTAATAATCACTAAAGTGGTCGTCAACAGGCGCGATAGTTTCTATACGAAGCTCCACACACAAACATTTCATTTTCATATCGCTTAACATCGTGGAAATTATCAATTGTCCTTGTTACTTATTTACATGAGAATGATAAAAACACGCTACCTACTGACTGTATGTTAGAAAAATGTAAATAAACGACAAAAAATGTATGTAATTCAATCTTCACGCTAGTGCAATTCCTCGAAAATTAGGACTCAACCGCAGCTCAATATAGTTCAAATAAACAATTGAACTTAGTAAGGGATGTAATCGCAAAGACGCGATTTAACTCTAATTATAAACGCGATAAGTTCTAAAATCGGCTGTACTTTTGGAGTGTGTAATACGCTAATCATTCGTCGATTTTGAGCTTAATTTTGATTGTTTGCAATCGACGGGATTATCTCCGGTCACTTAGATTGACCCCTTTACTCATAACAACTAATAAAGATGGACACAATCTTTCACAAAAAAAAAAAAAAAAATTGTTACAAAAGTAGTTATTTTGATTGACTATTGAACCGACTTTGATAAAATTTCTAAGAGACCAATCTGTAAGTATATCGATTCAGATAAAAAAAAATTACAAAACGGTTTAGAACTGACGAAGTTATTATGCAACAAACATTAAAAAAAAAAACCTAATTTGGAATCTCCTTTTTGAAGTCGACTGAAAACTCCTATAAACCTATTTTAACTAGGTATTACACTTTCTTTCAAATTGCGAATTTAATGCGAAAAAAAGGAACAAAACAGTTCTAGGTTTGACGTTTTTATAAATAAGGGGAGTAAGACTTCCATCGATTTTGGATGGAACGACTTCTCAACTATGAGCGGTTTGTTTTTATGGGAATCGAGCCCCTGGCCACGCCCTCGCGGACCCATGGCCCGCAATGATTGGCTAAGCTCCGCAATACGACGGCTACTCGGTTTTTATTTTGTTACATTTTGTCGCTATGGGTATGCCTTTCGGGCAATATAACAGTTGGCGTATTGCTCCACTTTCAACTACCTGTTGCTTATGTAACTTTATGTTGGCTGCACTGCATTTTATTTATGACATATATTGTCTGACACTGAACACTCAAGAGGCTGCAGAACCGGCTTGCGTGTATGAATATATACAGAGGAATAGATAGAGAGTCTGAAGATAGTAGAGGATAGAAGTCTGTAACCAGAGGGAAACTATGTACGAAAGTCGTTTGCTTAGGTACGTCTATCCATTCGTGTTTCTACCGTAAAGCAGTTATGTTTGCATGGCTGTTTCAATTCGAAGGGTGGGATATGGTAGTGAATTTACAGGGTGTAGAGGAATAACATCTGAGTCCTCAGGAATGACGACGCATGGGGGGTATCATGGGTGAAACAGTATACTCTGTTATGTCCATGGTACTTGCTCCTGTCTATAGGCGACGGTTGCAACTTTCCATCAGATGCGCCGTCAGCTTGTTTGCCAATCTATGTTGCATAAAAAAAGCTGCATCGGCCTTGAATCCTTGAATAGGGTAAAGTGAGATTGTCTTTCGCTCTTAGGTCGATGCTTTCACTTCACTACTTTGGTTTTACGTAAAATAAATAAATTTTCTCTTATTTTAAAAAATCAACGTTCATTGCAAATACTGGAAATGGTTTTTTGGATTCAGCTTTTTGGCGCCCTTTGCCACCTGGCGCGTAGAGCGACCGCTCCTCTCGCTTTACCCCAGGACCGGTGCTGTTTGTAAGGACCTTTTAGATTTTACTCATTGATCTACTTCTGAATAAGAAACCTAATTTAATCATAAATTGACTAGATAACAGTGAATTTCATTCAGGGTTTTTAAAAGGAGAATATTTGCACATGGCTTACTCTGTCTATCTCTGACTTCCTCAAACAAGAATCTTGGTTTAATCATAGATTAAGTGGACAAATATTTTAATTGTACAGACATTCATTGAAGCGAACAGATTCGTCAACATGGGACATTAAGGTGAGTTTAGAAAGCGCATTCTTTAAAGTATCAAATAGTAAGCCTATTAAGTAACACATTGGATTACGTTTTCACTTTTAACCACGTAGTACCTACTTTTACGTCAATTTACATTTTGTTTCCCTAACATATTATTCATTAATGTTCTTTGAAAAAGATATATTTAGGTTTTTTCAGGGTTGGCAACACGCACGTGTACACCCCTAGTATTGCAAACGTCCATAGGCTGGTTTAAATTTGAGATTACCAATATAATAAATAATCACAAGAGAAAATAAATCTTATTTATTGCATATAATACAAATAAAATCATTTAATAATTTCACAATCGTTTCAGCAAACTATAAACATTTCCCACGGCGCGGAACGGAATAGATATTAGATAAGAAAAACATTTTTCCGTGCCTTTCTCGCTATATGCTGTACTAAGGACTCATAACGGGAAGGAAATGAGCACATTCAGTGCAAAATTGAAGTCGTGCTCTGTATGCATAGAGGGCGATAAGGGCGGAGGCCGCGGGTCGTCGGATACCATGAATAAGTTAACGACGAATTTCGACAGTCAATGGACAATGTCTTCAGAAGAGAATACATATGAAGGATGCCATTTCTCACGACCTTGGAATGGTGTAAGGGTATAATGCACTATCTCGTTTTCCGTTGCGGTTACGAGTTCGATTCCTACACAATAGTAACGCTCATGAATATCGCTTTGTATTGTTCCGGTTGTATTTACATAAAAATATATTTAAGTCCATCAGTTGTCTAGTACTTATACCAGCTTTGCGTAGTTCGAACGCTGTATAATACGTTTAGTGTTATTTTGTTTCGTCATTTATTTAAATAGAACCATCATTCTAGTAATCGACGTTGTGATCATTCTAGAATCCGATAGTAAGTACACGAGACAAAGACGTATGAATAGCTAGTTAATCGCGGCGCACAATTAGGGTCTATGCGGAGGCCCGCTTATGGGAAAGTTACAATCATTACGACCATTCATAAACGGTTGAATGAGCGCAAGACGCCTGCGCAGCCGGCGAGCGGCGAAGTGCGCGCGCGCCGACCCCGCGACATCTGCGGTGTCAGCGGCATACCTCACAAACGAGGGTCAAAGAAATTAGAGAACGATCCATACTCAAATATCTTACTTCAATATTTAAATTCGACCTTCGAGACTCGGACAAGGACCGTGATCCAAATTTTGTACTAGCTACTCATAATATTTAGTTAGTGGACGAACGTATCGAAAACGTACTCGTCAGTGCGATCGCAGCGGCGGCGGGTGTATTGAACCCGCGCAGTGACAACCTAGTAGCACTCGATGCGTCACCACTCACTACACGGGCGGTGCGATTGAAAAATTCCACACGACAAAAGCCGCGATGTCCGCAAACGACGCATAAATAATTAGACAATAAACAGGCAGGGCAAGAAATCGGTAATTTGTATCGCGGCGAGATAGGCGGAGCGCAGAGGGAGACGGGTGCAAGCAGGCGCGCGCCGCCGCGGCGCGGAGATGTGGCAACGCGTCAGGTGGAAGTGGCGCCGTGCTGTTCTCGGTCTCGCCGAGGACGACCGACCGTCCCCGCCGCCCCGCGCCGCACACCCGCTAATCCTCACCCGAACACAATCTGATAAAATTCGCGCCAGCTATGAACATTACGCAAAGCGGTTCTACAATACAACACGGTGATAATGAATGACCCCGACTGTTTCTTCGCCATCCTCATGCATCAACGAGCGCTTCCTGTTAAGATGCTCTATACATTTACATAAAATCGAGCACAGTCAGTTAAAACTGTAGCAAGAAAGTTATTTCCTCGACCTGGCGAAACTAGTCTTGCGAACGCATTACGGTCGCGTTACGGCCAGGTGAATTCAAAATGACCTCTATGGGCCGGTGGCTTCTTGTGGCCTCGCTCACCGAAAGCGTTGACATTTTGTGGGTTAGCAACGCAACATGACTCTGTACTGTGACGAAAACGATGCCAGGATGACTAACGGCCGAGCGTCATTAGTAGCCTAAACATAAATTGTCCTACACAAAAACTTTAACGCAATAGATCGATTCAATTGCCGTATAGCAATAAGGTGAATTTTGTATCAGCGTCCACTAAACGAGAATCAAGACTCGTATACTTATCGTGGACTCATTATTTAGGAATTCATAAACATACCACACGAGATCTCTTAACAACAGTATTCGATACTGGTACCGCTTAAATTGTAATGATTTCGAAAGAAAAGTACGTACTACTTCTTTCATCAATGTAAAAGTGACTTACCAAGGCGAAGAAGTTAGTGTGGCAATCCTCGAGACTTGCACCGTTTGTTTGGTGATTTTGATGCGTCATGGTAGTCCGAGACACTTCATTTTCATTTCACAACACTAAAAACAGGTTCAATTTTAAAGAAACCACTCAAAATCTTAAAATTATCACCGTCATTTAGCGTAGTTTTCACCTCTCAATGGCGACTAAAGGAAAATGGCGGATAGGAAACAACAATCCCAAGCCGACAGTGCTGCTTGCAGCGGCAGACTTAAGAACTAAAAACAGAAATATTTGACGTTCTGATTCATGTTATTTTACGAAATTACAAATGTTACTTAATACGAAATTTATTATTTTTACCCTAACAATTTATATATTTTCATATAAATCAATTCAAAAGCCATAAATACTTAATAAACTGTTTTCAATCATATTCTTTAAAGAATAAAATCTGTGAATTGCTCATGTCAAAGGAAATTGTATGACGTGTTATCTATGTAATCGCAAATGAAATCGTCGTATAATGAAATATTAAAGTTATGTCAGAAGAAGAGTAAAAATATAATTGTTTTTTTGAAAATTTCGCAAATCTAAATAAACAATAAATTTACAATTATTTCTATAAGTAGTATACAGTAATCACTAAATCATTACATTAAATAATAAAATGTTACGAAATGTATTATTGCCTGTGACCCGTACCAATTTGCAGGTTATTATTTTTATTGTTATTTATGTTAGATTTTTTATCTTTCTCATTCTTGACATTATTAATTATCATAAACTTTAATGTCTTTATTTCTTTAGATTATACCAGTACGCAATGCTCAAAAGAAATTGCCAAAAATCGATAAAAAAATACAAGCTGCCGCTGAGTCTCTAGCTGCACGAGGGTAAGTACTTATAGTAACATTTTAATTACTGCTATATTATATATAAGATTTAGATAACTGTGGTGTTTATAGACCAACATTAATATCTTAGCATCTTATATATGAAGAATACAGATCCATGAGGGATACCACTATCAGTGTATTGTCGTGTTACCGTTCATGTCTACAGGCAATATATTCCATTTCAAAATGCACAAAAAATGAACTATGAAGAAATTCTGAACACATTACTACTTAAAACAGATATTTTATTAGTAGTGGTGCTTGCTTCTAAGCACCCCTTATGCATCTACGAAGCTTTTTATAAGCACTATTTATTAAAAGAGTATAAGCTCTTTTGATAACTGGGCACATCATCATTATTTCAGCTGAATGATGGATATTGCTTGCTGGACATGCAAACATGACCTAAGCAACAAATAATGAGATGAGGATTATTTTAATTACATTATGATGTCTAGCATCGTGGGTGCTCCACACCCTCTTTTAATCTCTTGTAGAATCTGGAGCACTCAAGCACCCATAGTGTTGGCACCCCTGCTTATTAGAATTTGTCATTAGGTTGAATACATGACAAAAAGTCACATTAATTTAATACCATGTTATAGGTTCTTACGTCCAAACAAACCATGGGATCCACCAGCTAATATTGAAGAGACCATTGTCAAGATATGCACAGATAATGGTTTAAAATCTGACTCAGAATTTGAAGACCTCGGTAAAAAGTTTGCAGTACTAAAAGCATGTTACCAGGAAACAGGTTACAGTGTACCAAACTCATTGTTACATACTATTGAATGTGTTGGTAAGTATTAAGGCATTTTTTTATAGTTTTAATATAATATTCCTTAAATCTGTAACTTTATTCTTTATCTATAAATAATAATTGATAAGCTCATATCTTGAAAACAACTGGACTGATTAGCTATTCTTTTTTTAATATTTGTAATAGTTTGTTTAAAAAAGGTTTTTAGGGAAAGGAAAAAAAATACTTGAATATGGACAGGGTAATATTTTTCAGAACTAGTTAGTAATAGATATATATGGCTGACAATAGACAATAAACTATTGACCATACATATGATGGACATTTTTTTTAATGCATAAAAATTCTCTTTTTTGATTGTAGTGGATATCACTCACTTGAATACTGCACTTGAGTGTTACACAACCACAGTGCCATAAAGTTAGGTCTATGTGTCATTTATATAAATAGTGTATAGGCTTGTGATATGGCTAATTGAACATTGGCAGAATTCTAATATAATTTACAATCTTACATAAAACTTTTGTAACTTTACAATTTTTTATACAGGGTCTAAGGGACATTCTTTCGTTTTTTCTTTTAAAATCCTGTAATCTATGGTATTATATCATAATATAAACAAATAATAATATTTTATAGTAAAATACTATGCAGTACCAAAAAAAGAGCAATATATTATTTATATTAAGATTCTACTGTGACGCACAGAATCAACTGTGTAATGTCAACTCCATAAGAGTTTGTGGAACACAGTATGTTGAAAAATTTTATAACATTGCGCTGCATTAATACTAAAAATCGTTCATTATATGATTGTGGTGCACTTCCGGTGGGAAAACATTCTGCCATCTGATTCAGACCATTCATCTGAATCAGCTGTTTTCATTTTGGCCACCCTGTCCCTTCCATCCTGTATTGTAAGGACAGCGTTCAAGCATACAGTTTGCTTAGTGCTTGCAACATTAAAGATATTAAAAAACTTCTTGTCACTGTATGAAAGTAATTGATTTTGTATCTTCTTAACATAAATATCAAATAATGCCAATGTAAGCTAAATTTCCCTTCCTTTCTCATGGGTGTTGTAAGAAGCCACTAAAGAAACTTAAAACATCATCCTATAGTGATGTTTTAAGATGATTTTTTTTTTACTGTTGGCTCCAAACTGTCTGCTAAGCATTGTAATTACAGGCAAACCCCATATGGGGGAAGTCTATGTTCAACAGTAGATAGTTTACAGCTGATATAATACTTCTAAAAGAGAGATTGATATATTACAATAATTATAGCAAATCAAATTTGTACCTAATTGTAAATTATATAAAAAAATAAAAGTGATTATTTTCATTTTCCAGATGATCTGAAACAGTTTTACAAAACACCAGTGGAAACAAAGACTCCATTTGATGTATTGGTGAAAATGGACTTGCCCAAAAATTTGCATATTCAAGAGAACTATGTACGATTCCACCCTGGTTAGTATTAAGTATACAAATACAGTGAAATAGAGAAAATTTTCCAGTACAATCAGCAATGTTAGTTTTTATACTCTTTGCATGAAAACATTGTATGGATGACAGCTAACACTTTGGCTAATTTTACTTCAAAAAAGTATTAAATGAGATTATGAAATTCAAATCAATCTAATAATCGAAATTCATACTTTCTCACAAACATATATTTTGTTTATTATAAAAACATACAATATTTTTTTAATATTCTTTATTGCTCTTGTGAATGACACAGATAATATATTTATAAATATTGTGAGCAAAGGTGGATTTTTTTATGAAAGAGATCTCATCCAGACAACCCAATCATGTTGCACGGAGATCGCAGCTGATTGAATAGTACATGGCTGACAGAGATATATTAGATATCTTAGCGGAACTTGAGCTCGACACTCTCTTGGACTACAGACTGATTTTGTAAGCATCTACCCCCAATGTGATCCCAGATTTGATTGGGAATATGGATAGGTAAGGAGGGTAGAAGAATATAGAGCAGCAATGCGTTCAGAAATGTTTAAGTTTGCATAAAAATGCTAAGATTATATTAACCACATGATGATGACAGACAGATTGATCATTCCTGAATTAAAATGTATGGATGCCTTTTATTCTAATTCATGCAAATAAATTCGCATGTTACTGCTAATTTTTACTAATATTAGAAATATAAAAATGAATTTGTTTAATGAATGTCTTGACATTTTAGTATAAACATAGTATTTGGGATAGAGAGAAACAGCTACTTTTATTTTATCTCTGTCAATCAATATGTGCTACACAACATGGACGAAGTTGCGGACGTAGATTTATTTTTTATAATTATTTTAACATTTCAGAAAAAGACACTTTGTTCAATGGAAAATCTGCGTTCCCCAAGAGTTCCACCATAGTGACGGGCTTGAAAACAAGGAAAAAGTATGAAGGTTACACCGCCAAGAGATCATGGCCTTAAGTTTTTTATTGTTAAAAATATATCATGTATAGTTTAATTTGTAGATAAATAATAATTATAATGTTGATTTTATTCACTTTGTTTTATTTTCTGTAAATAATTTTTGAGTCTATTGATTTAGTTTTCAATCAAAGTGATACGGTAAAGATATTGAAAAAAAAAAACAAAGGAACATTATGGCGCGTGAAAAATTATTATTGTTCGTTATTCGTCATTGAACTTAAAAAGTAAAATTGTGTTTTTGATTTCCGCGCATTGTTTGAGAAAAGTACTATACAAGCCTTGGCCACAACTAGGCATCGATGGACTCATATGTGTGCCTCGGCTGCGCCTCGGCCCACATTTGCACGTTCGTCCATCAATGCCTCAGTTGCTGGCCACTACAGTAATGTACTATTGTTAGTTCATTATTCACGTGGTCCCCTGGAAATCATTTGAATAATTTTAGATGAAACTTAACACAATAGGCTAACTTTCATCCGTACTCGTGTTTGATCAACGTACCGTTATTTAATATTTATTTATTTATTTAACACTTTATTGCACCAACATAATAGGATTTGTTGAACAATTTTCAATACGTATAGTGTAGTACAAAAGGCCGTCTTATTGCTAAGCAATCTCTTTCAGACAACCTTTGGATAGAAGGAATTAAAGCATAAATAGGTAGGTGGCGCGTTAAAAAGAATAGATCTGTAAAAAAATAATATCTGTGACAGCATAGTCATATAAACATACATAAATAAACACATACATCCAAATATATACATATGTATATATACATACACAAATATATATACATACATACACATATAAATACATATATACACGTAAATACATACAAATATAACACACTAACACACATAAAACTAGAAATACGTAAGGCTAAATGATTATAAGGATAGGTAGTGGGATTTAACTAGGTTTTCAAAAATGGGCAACGATTAAGCGCACCGTAAAGAGGTAGGGAGTGAGTTCCACAAACGAACTACTTGCACGAAAAAGGATTTGGAGAGGAAAAAGAAAGAATTATGAGTTGGAGATTGAAGAAATATAAAACGTTAGAGTTATATTTCCATTTTTATTTCATTAATTATAATATGTAAAGTTTTGCTACCACGTTAGTTCTTCTTTTTTCAAGTCAATAGGCAACCTAAATATATTTGGACCGTAACTTAGCAACTTCCACAATACAGTTGATTATTTTATTTAGGTCCTCCGTGCAAGATAAAGGACACAAAAGACAGGGTAGGAGGTAAGACATGGTCTGCGATTGCACTCCACAATCGCAGGCCTCCCGAGATAATATGATACCCCCATTTCACCTAGTTTTTTTTTTTATTTTTAAATGGTATGGTAACCCCGCCTGTGCTAACGGAATACGCTGGCGGAGTACCAGTGAAGGGTGATAGATGAGAATGAAAACAGACCAGTTAGCCAATCATGATGAATTCATTCAGGAATTAACCATGATAGTTTCCAGGGAGAACCGCGAGGAGGTTGACCTGGTTGGGTATATTGCTAGCAATGGGATTCTCAGTCCATTTCACCTAGTTGTATCAGCAGTGGTCAACCTTTTTTCGTAGTCTTCCACGTCAGTAACATATGTAAATACATTGTCGGCGCTGAAAAAAATTATGTCTGACATTGACATTGACATTTTGAGTTGGGATTAGGTTAGAATTAATCATAATAATTCCGATACATAAATATTATGTTTTTTATCACGATTTTATACGATAATTATTCTTTTAAAAGCTTTGAAATGGTATAAACTCGCCAAAATGAATATCTTTTTCATATTGCTATTTATTTTTGTGGCTATTTACTCGTGTGTTTCATGGTAGGGTTGGATTATAGTATGCCAATAATCTATTATTGTTTTTGTTTTGTTATAAATGTACAATAATAGAAAAATGTTTTAGGTTGTTACCAGCTCTGTTATCATGGTTGTTCAAAAGAAAGTACCACATCAGACTAAAAATTGGTAGAATCGCAGTGCTTAAATTCATACTCAAAGACGTGAGTCTGTCGAAGGATAGATATTTTGTAGTAAGTATTTACAGATCTCCGAATAATAGTATTTAATTAAATATCTGGTACATAGGCCGATGTTGATAATTCTTATCTATTAAATAAGTGCTAAGGTTATATTTTAGATATGGAAAAGCAGAAAGCAAATGAATTTGAATAATTTATGTGCTCAATATAGTATTACAAGGGGTCTTAATAATATAGCGTTTCCTTCAGTTATTCAGCCTGTATACAGGCATGCAAAGTTTTACATTTTAATTACTAAATATAATATTCAATTATTCATAAAATTAAGTCTTAAATTATTTAGAATGTTTAGATTTAAAATCTATGTATTCTTTGACACTACTTTGACAAGGTTAGAAGATATATCTGCTATAAGGATAAAAAGTGCTACACAATAACATTATCTACCCCTTAGGCTAGACTATCCTAAGTTATAAAAAAATTAGACAAAACCAATTACACCTCAATCAGAGTTAATTTAGAAGTTTGTTTTCCAAGTACCTCCTGTTTTTAATGGAATTGATTAAATATTGGGCTTATTCAATTTACATTAGCTCAATGTAAATCAGAAAATTTTGAATATATCTGTTATCAATGCTTATTAATTTCTTGCTTTCTGTGAGTAGGCAAAATAGATAAAATCTTATCTGAGAAATGTGCTAGTTTTTTGTTCAATTTATTACAATGAGCCAACTGATCTGCTTCTTCCTTATTTAAAATCCCTCACTGATGCCCTGCCAGTGTATACTAATAACACAGATGGGGTTACCATTCCATTTTTCTCTATTAAAAAAAAACATCTATGAGGGTTGTTTATGTCTATAGAGGAGGCTTATGTCCAACAGTGGACGGATAATGGCTGAAATGATGATGATGATGATTATCCATCTGGTAAGTAATCAGTTTGTGACTTGTGCCAACATGTACAATTTATCATAACTATGATAAATTTGCCCAAAGAGAAATATGTAAAAAAAGTAATTATTTTTTTCCAGCATATAGATGAAATATCATTTCGAAGCAGTTTTTTCAGTTCCGAAATCAATAAACTAGTGTCCGTTGTTATAAAGGGTGTTGAAATCACTAATCATGTTGAGGAAAAGAGAAGTGTTGTTGTGGAGACCATTCTTAAGCCGTTGTTGTCCAAACAAAACTCAGTATCTAGAAGTGAAGGGGATGAACAAGTTACCAACTTAAGTGATGTAAACTCAGAATTAAGCAGGATAGTTCAAAAAAAGATATTGGACTTTCGAGACAAGAAATTGCCTCCAAGTCTTATCATGTTCGCACAGGTAAACCTTTCTTTTTCCAGTATTAGGATTCCTATAAACTCATTTTATTCTGTACTGATTTTATTACTGAATTGTCAAAGGACGGGCAGCTTGCCAACTTACCTGTCAAATGTGGCAACTACTGGCAAAACTATAGGATAGGTTCTAGAACTATGTTCAACAATGTACACTTAATGGCTGATATGATGATGACAATTACTGATTTTATTAGAAGAAAGGAAAAAAAAACATATTATACAGACGCCAAAAAAGATTTGGAATAAGGGTAGGAAGATGATAATGATCATGATGGTTGACATTATTAGAAAAACATTTGTACTCTTCTACAATTGTTATAACAAATATATATAAGTCCTTTTACTCCAAATTCACTATAACCCTAGTAAGACATATTTTCCCTTTCTATTTATTATAATATATCTCTCAATTCGGTGTGCCTCCTGGCATAGGCCTCCTCCAGCTCTCTCCACTGAAATCTTATAATAAATACTACCTGATTAATTTCACCATTTATGGCATTTTTTAAAATCATTACATTTGTTTTGTCATTTGTTGATTGCATAAATTTATTATTATTTATAGAATTATTTTATAACTATAATATTATAAATGATAAAGATGTTTAATACACAATTATATTGAAATGGCTGAACAGAGGGCCTACCATAAAAAAAATTCCGAACTTCAGGGCCGGATAAAACACTAGTTTGGTGTTAAAATCGTATAATAAATGCTGTTTAAAACTTTTTAAATATGGGTCTTTTGGTCTTGTATAGGAGGATTTATAATGAATGAAATGTTAAGCTTTGTTTATTATAGTGATTTCAGTATGAACAATAGTATAAAATAGAATTAAACATTCAAGTTTTAGTTAATAGTAGACCCCCTAATTTGAATGTAATTGTGAGTAGCTCATATAACTAAAAATATATGATACTTTATATTCTGAATTCATAAGTGCAAAGCCATAGGAAGTGATGATGATTTTGATCAATGATTTTGTTAATTCACGTTTAGTTTATGGGAGTTCACATGTTCAATGTATCCATCACAATTCAAAATGGCGCTACAAACAATGCGTCGCTGAACGTCAGCGCGTCAGAAGTGCATGCTGATGGTGCGGCTGGCGGGCCGGCGAGAGCGCTCGTGTTTTCAGCCAACCTAGTGGAGGTCAGGGGAAAAGTCTTCACGGAGAAACACTGTTTAGGAGAGGCTTCATGCAGTCTGTTGGTGGAAGGAACGGTTAAAGCTGATGGACCTTTGAATGTTGAGGTAAACAAAACTAGTTGTGAGAAACTGCTACTTTGTAATGCTAAATTATTTCTGTTTTTTTTTTTTATGCATCTTAGAATGGCAAACAAGCTGACGGCCTACCTGATGGAAACTGGTAACCATCGCTTATAGACATGAACAGTACCAAAAACATAACAGAGTATACTCATGTAGTCTTGGTTTTCATGTATAAAAAAATAAAGATAAAACCTGTTACCAGATAACAAACTACTTAATATAAGTATATCGGAGAGACTAAAGTGATAGCCTCATTATCAATCATTTTTAATTGAACTTGAATATGGTTGTTAAATGCCGTGCAGTCCCGATATAGAATAGGCTAGCCCTTCCTTTCCCGTGGGTGTCGTAAGAGGCGACTAAGGGAGAGAGTAAGATGGGCAGCAGTGACCCTCTTAAAACATCTCCAAAGCCTAACTGTCAAGTGTGGCAACTATGGGGAAATTTTGCAAATAAAAGCATATTTTTTTACTTATATTTTTGCAAATAAGTGATTGATTGATATAATAACTTTTTGATACAATTTAATGTATTTTTTCAGAAAATCCATGCTGTAGTAAGTAATACAACTATATCATTCCAAGATGAGATTTACCAGTTCATACAAAAGCACAAAAGACATAGGAAGGATTTGGTCAAGTCAGATCTGGTTGGAGAGGATCACATGAAAACCATCATTCCAAGGTTATCACCTGTCATACCAAAGGTATATAAATAATTTAAGATTGTATTTCACAATAAACCCAATTTTACATATGGGAAAATGAATGAATGAATGAGTATACTTTATTTGCGTTATACAATATAGGAAATAAGCAAGACAATTTACAAACACAACGATACAATTGTATAAGTACAGTAAGGCGGTATTATTGCTGAGAGCAATCTTTTCAAGACAACCTGGTTCTTTTGATTTAAAAACTAAACAACTAAATACCTGCAATGCCGCTGGTGTTGTGGGTGATCATGGGCGGCGGTAGTCACTTACCATCAGGTGAGCCGCATGCTCGTTCGCCCCCTGTGTTGTAAAAAAAAAACTGAACTGATTTTGATAAAATTTCTGTGGGAACAATTTGTAAATGTATACTTTTAGATAAGAAAAGAATTTTCCAAATTGGTTTATAATTGAATGAGTTATAAGGTAACATAAACTTTACGTATAAAGGCCCAAATGAGAGGCCTAGTGCGGAGAAGAGAGTTCAATTTACAAGGTAATATAAAAAAAAAACAATACAACCACATTGAAAACTTTTTCGTTTTGAAGTCGTTGATAAAGTTTAAAAAGTTAATAACAATAATAAAAGATTTATTGCACACAAATATATAAGTTATACATATAATAATAAGTTCTGTTTTATTTTATACTTTTTGGGATCAGTTCAGTACTTCATCCATACATACATACATATCTGTCACGCCTGTCTCCCATTAGGGTAGGCAGAAACAATGGAACGCCAAATGCTTCGATTTAAACAAACCTCTTTCGCTTCCTCCACATTCATCAATCTTTTCATACACGCTCGCTGGTTTCGGGTACTTTTAATTTGGCCCTTCTTCAGCACGTCGCCTATTTGGTCGACATACGTCCGTCTAGGGCGGTCCCTACCGACATCTCCATTCATTCTTGTTCATTCAGTTCAGTACTTCCTTAGATATAAATAAACAAAATATTTATTACTGTAATTCAAATAGTTATAATAGTGAAAACATGTAATAATAGTAATATTATTACATGTTTTAGCCTTATGTGTTATGTATGATTTCAGATTTTTAGTTTAAAAGTTGACACAACAAAAATAAAATGTCTTAACAGTGCAACTAAGACAAATTTTGAGATGTCACTGCAAAGTATACAGGTAAGAAAAAAGTAGTAGATTGTTTTATCATTTTTTTTTTGTTTTTTGGTTAAAAATGGAATATGGTCTGCTGATATATCCGCTACTGGAGTTTCAACAGTCTCTTTTTTTTATGCAACTTAGAATGGCAAACAAGTTGACGGCCCATCTGATGGAAAGTTGTAACCGTCGCCTATAGATATGAGCAGTACCATGGACATAACAGAGTATACTGTTTCGCCCATGATACTCCCCATGCGTTGTCATTCCTGAGGACTCAGGTGTTATTCCTCTGTACCCAGTAAATTCACGCCATATCCAACCCTTCAAACTGAAATATAGCCATACAAACACAACTGCTTAGCGGTAGAAACACGAATGGGACAAAGGTACCCAACCAAACGACCTTTGAACTAAGCCTCTTTCTGGTGTCTAAATGCGAATGTTATTTTAGGTAATTTCGCGATTCAGTGCGGCTTCGGTGATAGTGCACGACAGCGGCACCGAGGTGACGGGTCTACCGCAGGTGTACGTGGCCTTCCAGATGGATCAGTACCAACTAATGACGGATAACGAGAAATTATTGTTCCTACACAAACTGAAACTCGATGCCAAAGTAAGTTTTGACTATTTATAACATTAACAAAAAGATCATCGATTTGATTGAATATTTTTTTGTGTATGCCAATTTTGAGCCGATTTTGATGACTTTTTTTTTGTGTGAAAAGGTGTGTGTAGTGGTAATTCCACACAAAATTTGTCACAATTACAAAAAATTTACTTCTAATACTAACAATAACTAAGAAATAATATTCATGGATTAAATTAATAAAAGAATATGATTGCAGTTGGAGAAAGACATACTGAACTTGTACTTGATAATAAGTACTTTAAGAATAACCTACAATCACAGTCAAGTATTCGAATGGTACTCAACTGTTATGGAGAGAGTAAGGAAGTCAAAAGCACTAGAAGTTAAACCTGTTAATATAAAGGGTGAGTTAATTCCTGATAGATAATTAGGGAATAAGTAATACAGAAATATTTTTTTTATGATATTAAAAATTAAATTTATTCAAACAAAAAACATTCAAATAATTACAGTCACTTTTCAATAACATTGAAATTTTACAATTAAAGTTGAATTTTTACAATTACAGTCGAAACTATACAATTAAATTTGAAATTTGAAATTTTACAAATAAAGTTGAATTTTTACAATTATAGTTGATATTTTATAAATAAAGTTGAAATCTTACAAATAAAGTTGCAATTTTACAATTAAAGTTGAAATTTTACAAATGAAGTTGACAATTACAATAAACATAGATGTACTTTTCATTACGAGTATATATAGTGTAATGTGTACTGTTATCTCTGTATTGAGTATATCTCTGTTGTTTATATTTATTACTGTCTCTTTCAAGCACTATTTGTATTTCTCTAACATTGTCGCCTTATACACTAGTACGCGTCATCTGTACTATTATCCACATATGGTACTTTTTGTGATGTGTTGATCCACAGGCCTACTATTAAATGAATTTTAACTTCAGCTATATATACACATAATTGAAATTGCCTTGTTTAGAGTGTGAATGTGGAAGATCTAACCTGGCAGTTTTTTTCCCTGTAGAGTCCTCCACTCCAGTATGGATGTCGCGGTTATTCGCGTCATGCGTGGTGCAAGGGTGTGCCGAATTGCGTGAAGTTAAAATACATACACGGTTGCTGGAAGAACGCGAGATGTCCGTCGGCTGTACTGGTGTTAAAGTCAAATTGGATCAACTATTGGATACAAGTAATAGATATTTTGTAGAGAGTCTATGTAATATATTTTCATTTATTCTATGAAAGTGGCAATTAGCTAATAGTCCGCCTGTGAATAGCTACTAGGGCCGTTATAAAAACTCTATTATGTAAATTGCAACACAGGAGGCTTTTTTTAATGGACTGGTAACCTCACCCGGGCTAACGGTATCCGCTGGCGGGGCACCAGCGAGGGATGATAGGTGAGAGTGAAAAGGAAGGATAGTTAACCCATCATGATAAATGCACCTAGAATTCTGCACGATGGTTTCCAAGAAAACCACGGGTTTTTAATGGATGATAATTGAATGGTAACCCCGCTCGCGCTATCGGTATATACCGGCGGGGCACCAGTGAAGGATGATAGGTGAAGATGTAGTAGGTCAGTTAGCCCATCGTGATGAATTCAATAAGAATTGTTCACGATGGAGAAAACCACGGGTAGGTCAACCTAACTGGGTATATTGCTAGCAACCGATAGTCTGCATTACTATTTATCTTCTCCTGCAACAGAGGAGTCGCAGAAGGAGAGCCCGGGCCGCGGGCAGTGGAGCGCCGAGCTGCTGGTGGACGGCGGCTGGGCGGCGTGGCGCGGCGCGCGGCCGGGGGCGGCGCCGCCGCGCCGCCGCCACGCCTGGGGCTCCGCGCTGCTGGCCGTCGCGCTCGTCAAGTGGGGCAGCCACGGACGGAACAACTCCAAGGTTGTATTCGCTATTTGTGTCTATGCTGCCTGCGTGTATGTGTGAATCCGATAGTGAGTGTACAAAACTTAGTACTCTTAGATTATATAGATGGAGCATAGAGCCTCGAAAATAGATCAACTTTTTGTCAACTAATTGTCAAAATCATAAGATAAGAAGGCACCGCGCATAAGACACACCTCGTGTTGCCGGCATCCATAGGCTACAGTGACCGTTTAACAGCAGACGGGTTCTGTACCTGTTTGCCACCTTTATGGTAAAATAAAATCTAACCAATATAATCTCTTTCAGGTGGAAGCCATGATGGACTGTCTCCGTCTAGAATGGAGCCCATCCATCGCCAAGACAATCATAACATTAGCCGACTCTCTAAACCAGTACCGGTCCACTTCATCTTCAAACCGCCCTTCGCTCCCCTCCGCTGACTACCCTCCAAATATTACCGTCAACGTAGCGCTCTCACATATAAACCTGTTCCTTATAGTGAACGAGAAAATGTGCCTCATGACCAGAATAGACGCAGTCACCCTAGAGAAGACTGCGAGCAAATCCGGCGCGGTCGTGTCTGGCCTGAAGGTTGTTGATATGGTGCCTTATGAAGGTAATTTTTTTATACCAACTAAACTGAAGTATTTTTTATACCACTCATGTTGAGAGTGAGCGAGCTGCATTCCCTCAATGCGGTTTAGAAAGAAAGAAAGAAAAAAGAAAGAAACTTTATTCTACAGAAATATGCGACTACACCCACACAGGGGTTAAAAAAAAATTCATATATTAAGAATTATAACAACGAAACTATACACAATATTGATATGTATGTTATATAAAAAAGAATATAAAATTAAAAAAAAAAAAACAATTTTTTACAATTGTTTACAAGTCCTGATAGATAGGACGCAAATTGGACACGAGCCCTAAGCGCTTTAACATTGTTATTTCATATCCCACTTCCTATAATTATATCTGTTATTACTAATATAAACGTGAAAATTTAAAATAAATCCATGCAGGATGCTACTGAATTAATTTGAATGAAATTTGTTACACTGATAGGTTATATCCTAGCTTATTTATCGTATGGGTTCAAGAGAGTCATTGCGTCAGTGCTTTAAAGACTCAAATATCCTCACAGTTACTTCACAATACATTTATGAAAATATTATGTATACACGGAAGAACTTAGAGAGTTTTAAAAAACTCAAAGACTGTACAAGTAGAAACTTACGCAATATAAATAAGCTTATTTTACCTAAATGCCGTCTGCACAAAATCAGTAATTCATTCTATGGTAATTGCATAAGATTTTATAATAAACTGCCGGAATCTGCATTAAATCTGACAGAGAGGCAATTCAAATCTTATATTAAACAATTTTTATGTAAGAAAGCCTATTACAGGATAGACGAATTCATAGATGACAACATATCAAGTAAATAATTAGTTTATTAGCATACAACGTTATAATTTTATTTTTTCATTGCTTTCTTGATTTAATTGATTAATTTTAGAAATATGAAAGCGTAGCGGTTTTTTGTATTAATTGCCGCATGCATTCTTATGTAAAATGTGAATACTATAACTATCAGATGGCAATTGTGAGTATTTTGACGTGGTCTAGTGTTTTGAAGTCATGCTCACTAAAATGTCCAGACTTGTGGCGGCGTGGTGGGCCGGGTCATTGGGCTCCCTAAAATATGGTCGAGCGCAGTGATGGCTGGCTCATCCGTCATACTCGTGAACGGGTGCTGCTTGTAGGGACTGGTCTGCTCTAATCACTATGACTGATTTCCTCTTATTAATTGTTTAACCAGTTGGTTATGTATTCAATATTTTTTTTTTCTTTTTGAGTATTTAATTGAATTAGTGCTAATTGGTGGTTTGTATTCACACAATTAAACTTAAAAATGTAAAGTAATAATAAAATTATTAAAAAGAGCAACACGCAAGTTTCTTGCTCGTTCTTCTTGTGATGAGACAGCTTTCCGAACGAGCGGTATATTAAAAAAAAAATGTAATGACTTTTCAAAAGTGCTTCAATGTAAGTTTATTTGAATAAATGATTTCTATTCTATTCTATTCTATTCTTAATATATAGAAGATTTTATGCAGGATGCTACTGAATGAATTTGAATGAAATTTGTTACACTGATAGGTTATATCCTAACTTAACATGTAGAAGATTTTTGTATACTGATTCATGCGGGTGAAACTGTAGGATATAGCTAGTTATTTAATTACGAGATTGTAAATTCTACTCGGTTTTGTACGCCGTTTAAGATTAATCATTTTGATTCTCAGGTACCATGCACTGTTATAAATCTGACGAGATCGTGTCCTCGTTCTTTTATATTCGACTGGCGAGGATAGAGTACGTGCCTTCCAAGCAGAGACATTCGGCGCTCCTCGACTTCCAGTTCATGGAGAATGTAGACTTTGAATGGAGTGTCAACCTGCATCTCAAGATTCTCACGCTCTGTAGAGCCATAAAGAGTTTCATAGGAGAACTGAAGGAGAAGTGGGTAAGAAGTACGGAGACTGTGGCGAAGAGAGGCAGGGAGCTGGATTGGAGGATTGCATTTAAAGGCGATACGAATCTGATGTTAATATTGTCGAAGGAAAATAACATGTTGTTTGCAACAGGTAAGTAAATAGGCAAGGAAATTGTTGCTACAGTAAATTAATTATTATTTGAGTAATTTTTTTTATCATTATTATTTTTAAATTTCAATGCACAATTATTATATATAAGGCATATGGCAGACTTAACACTTAATAGTGTTCTCTATTAGTCAACCATGAGGCAAACAGAAAATTAGGTAGGCGGTGCATTTACTACTAAAATAAGTACAAATATTGTTACTAATACATATACATCCATATCGATATTTATTTACACAAATACATACATATAATATGCAACTATAATTCTAACGATGATAAATCAGAACAGCACGGATAAAAGAAAATAAGGTAGAAATATACCTAAGACTGAAGCAAATAGGACAAATAAAAATCAATAGAAAGAAAGAGAGAGAGAGAGAGAGAGAGAGAGAGAGAGAGAGAGAGAGAAATGAAAGAGATTTATTAAGTTGTAAGTTATTTAGGAAGTGACATAGATTATGTGTATTACCAGTATATATTATTACTTGTAACAAAATAATAGGAGCGATTTTCGCTCGCAACGATCTAATGTCGCACTTGCTACCATTTAGTACTGTATATGAAAAATGAATTATGATTCTTATGATCAGTGTGCTAAAGTCTCTATTCATTAGTATATTATGGCAGTTAGTATGTGTACATTCGGCCATCTGTTGTGACTTCATTTCCTAGAATCCCTAATAAATAATCATTAGTCAACTTTGCAGCTTTAAATTTTTGTGAAACGTTTTTAAATTAAAAGTAATAAGGTCCATTATTTAACAGACGACCTGACCATATCGTACGACCACGAGATTGGTCTGTCGATAGTGTGGAGCCTGCTGAAGATGGTGCTGAACGGCGACGAGGTGATCACCGTGGAGGGCTACTCGATGGAGCGGGTCGCCGACGACCATGACGTCAGGGTCGAGAGGAAGGCCAACGAAGGGTTCGAGCTTATGTGGAATAAAGTCTGGTCAGTATGTGTTGACAGATCACACAGATTAGTGACGAGGACGAGATGGTTCGTAGAGGAATTAAATTGAAAATATTTGAATTTAGAACACAGATATGTGATCAATGAGCAGTTTTTTTTTCACAAAAAAAGAAAGCTTTGTCACAGTCTAAATTTTAATAAACATTTTACAATTAAAAAGTATAAATACATGCGTTAGCCCTTAACAGGTACCAATCGAATGTAAAACTGTTTGGTACCGCCCTCCCGGCTTTTTCACCCCGATGGTAACCCTACTTAGACCCATTCGAGAAACTATTGTATGAAAAGTAGTTCTTTATACTGTGTTATCAATTACAAAAGTAAATATATTTTGATTTTTAAGCTACTTCTAAACGGAGAGGGTTTACAATTAATTTGTATTTTTTGTGGGTATGCAATATCTTTGTTAATTTTAGACTGATTTTTTTACAATACATTAGTATGTTTACTATGACTTCGCTTTAATACTAATTTTGACTCTATTTGCTATAGGTTTTTTGTGGCAGTTTATCAATTAATTATTCTAATATCTTGGTCATTTAATAATTAATAGATAATATTGTATTATTATTATGCCGTATGGTCCCGGCATAGAATTGACCACACTTTTCTTTCCCGTGGGTATCGTACCAGGTGATTAAGGAAGGGCGAGGGATGGGCAGCGGCGTTCCTCTTAAAACATCTCCAAAGCCTAATTGCTGTTGGCAATCCGCCTGCCAAGTGTGGCAACGCAAAACCCCCTTGGGGGGAGGCTTATGTTCGGCAGTGGACAGTCAAAAGCTGATATGATAATGATAAGTGACAATCAATTTCAAACGTTTTTTGGGTAACACTACTTTATTGCGTGCAGGTTGGTGAGCGTAGATTCCGTACGCGTGATATTCCCATACAAGCACCGGTTCGCTGACGCCGTGCAGGGCGACTTCGTGACTTTGTTCAAATGGATCAAATTGGTTCACGGCATCCAGAAGAAATCAGTCACGGCAGACAGCCCGCTGCCTAGTGACTTGCATATCAAGGTTGCTTTATTTTATTACAAATTTCTTTTATGCTACTTATAATGGCAAACAAGCTGATGGCTCACCTGATGGAAAGCGGTAACCGTCGCCTTATTTTTTCATTAAGGTTTGTAGTGGTTACAATATTTTTTAAATCTTAATAACTATAATTTCTGTAAAATAAAACTCGGCAAATCAAATGTCTTATTGCATAAACATGAATGTAGGTCCTTCGAGCCGGATTCACGTAATATTTTGGTAAAAAATAGTTTATAGTTGGTTAACCGTTTTTTATATTGATTATCATAAAAAATATGCTTAGGCAATAGTCGGTACTTTATATTATATTATACAATACATTTTGTTTTTTTTTTTTTTACATAGATCGAGGAGATTTTGATTGAGATGAGTGATGATCCATTCGAAGTGAAGTTGCGAGACAACTACGAGCTACTCGAGGATGAGTACAAGGAGAGCCAGAAGCGACGGACGATGTTGGATGCAAAGGTAAGTATTCGCGGTTTAGTGATAAGGACGTTCATAATTTTTTTTTTTATCTCGTTGCTTGTGATGGTGCTTTTTTTTACTACATATGTAATTTTGATGTCTTTGACTCCACGTGTCTCTACTTGTAGGTGCAGGAGCTGTGCAAGCCGCACTTGTTCCTGCCGTCGGGCAAGGTGGAGGAGCTGTACGCGGCGCTGAGGCAGAAGGACGCGCAGATATACGTGCAGCGCTGCCGTGCCGCGCCGGCGCCGCGCCGCCGCCTCGTGGCCTGCACGCTGGCGCGCCTGCGGCTGCTGGCGCTCGCCGACCCCAGCCTGCACGGCGCCGCCGCGCTGCCGCGCCTGCGCCGCATGGACGCTGACAGGTATCTTTTTTGATGGATGATAGTGGAATGGTGGCCCCACCTGCGCTATCGGTTTACACTAACGGGGCACCAGTGATGAATGATAGGTGATGATGAAGCAATCATGATGAATTCAAAAATAATTAATCACGATGGTTTCCAGAGGGAACCACGTGGAGGTCCTGTCAGGGTATATTACTAGCAATGGGATTGCTAATTTCCATTACTAACAATCCCTTCTCCTCCCCGCCATCAGGTACCGTGCCGCTGCAGGCTACTGGCTGCTGATTGCTGACACTGACGCTGCAGTGTTTTGAAGTGGCATTGAAACTGACGATTTACTTAGTAGAGAAAGCGAAAACCATTATTTACAATACATATGAGTAGCACCATAGATGTTGCAATGGAGTTACACTGCTCTTCTCGAGTATTATGGTCCATATGCTGTACCGTAAGCAGTTAGTTTAAGATTGGTGGTACAACCGTACGTGACGGTTGCAGCCCGTGGCCGGAGGACGGGCTGGAGTTCTGGACGCTGTGGTGCCGCGCCGTGTCGCTGAGCTGCGCGCAGTGGCAGCTGCTGCTGCGCGACTTCCCGCAGCCGCTGCTCAGCATGAGCCAGCTGCGCCTGTGGGGCACACTGCTCGGCGCTGAGGAGGCGCCGCCGTCCAGGGGTAACCACCGCCACACTCATTATGTCTTCTTAATCGAACACTAGTTTCATACCTTCGTCAAAATTTGACATAGGTTATCCTACTTTCTTTTTCTATGTGTGATTTTGTTCATGCGAACCTGTGCCTACTTGGTCTCGTCCCCGTAAGTGACCTTGAAAAACTAGGTGCGGTCGGGTCTCGAGGCTTTTGTTTTGTACTTATGTACCATCATACCATTGGCATGTGCGCGTATATCTCCTATACAAGTATTATCATATTTAACTGTCCACTGCTGAATATAAGCGTTCCCCTTAGGGGGGTATTGGGGGGTTATGCCAATAATTGCCATGCTTGGCAGGCGGATTGACAATCGCAGTTATATCTTAGTGATGTTTTAAGAGGGATGCTGCTGCCCATCCCTCGCCCTTCCTTAGCCGAGCGCTTTTTATCATATTATGATAATTTTATAGTATTTTTTATTGAATATTTTGTGAAGTAGAATCTAAAATGTCAAAGCTCAATGAGATGTTTTTGTAAATGTGACGTTTATGGCGTGTGTTGCGCGCCACGGCAGCGGTACGGACGGTGGCGGTGGAGCAGGGCGAGCCGTGGGGCGCGGTGCAGCTGGAGCGCAGCATGATGCCGCTCAAGTGCTACTACGACGTGTGCTGCGAGATGGCGCAGTTCAGCTACGCCTTCGGGCCCTGCTGGGAGCCGGTCATCGCGCACTGCAACCTCGGTCTGTCCGCAACCCGCATTATACAATTACGAACAACCTGTACATAAAGGTGAAACTCCTTGAGAGGTTTGGTGGGATAAAAATATCATAAATTTATATAATCAACAACTATTAAAACGTTTATTATATCTAGATAGGGAAAAACCTTAAAACAATGATGGGGACAATAACAGGTTATTGCCCATTAAACAAATATTTACATACAATTGGAGCCACAGGCAGCCCTAACGTAATCCTGGAATGTGAAGCTGTGGCCCCTCAACATTTAGAAATCCTTGGAATGGTAAGGTCGCTCCGTGAGGCCCGTGAAGATCCCCTGGGATCTTCCTGATCTTCCTTGCTTCTGGGCGGAGCTGGGCTGGCTGTACTAGCCACGACTCATACGCACAACGGCCCAAATTAGAAGCTAAGCATGAAAAAGAGAGTCCACTTTACATTACATTATAGTGATAAGCCAGGAAGATATTTGGCATTTTCATGATAACTCGGAATACATTGCTTATCTTGTGTCTATTGTATAATTAATAGAAAAGAGTTTTTTTTAGACTGAAATAACATTCTATCAGAATGTAGGTATTATGTGTAATATAGTAAATATAATTTTTATTTAAATATTTCGCATATTCCATAGCATTCGACCAAGTATCTCGCCCTTCCCTCGACCCGTCCGCGCCGCTCGCGTGGTGGGACAAGGTGCGACTTTTGATGCACGGCCGCCTCACAGTCAACTGCGCGCGGTTCACTTGCCTCCTACACGTGTCGCTCGACCCGTACAATACCACTGAAGAAATGGAGGTGACCTGGACTGACCTCGTCCTCGACTGGACTAATGGTGTGTATATTTGGATATTAAATTGTGTATCATATTTCATTTTTTGAATTGTTTTTGTGTATTGCGCCAAGATTCTGGCATAGAATAAGCAACCCCTTCCTTTCCTGTGGGTGTCGCAGGTCAGTCAGCCCATCGTAATGAATACTCCTGGAATTCAGCACGATGGTTTCCAGGGGGACCACGTGGGGATCGACGTGTCAGGGTATTGTATATATTGCCAGTAATGAGACTGGTAGCACCACTAACAATCCCTTCCCTCCCCCTGGACCAAGGATTAATCCCTGTGGAACACCCTTGTCACGATATATGATAGAGCGTCTATGTTTAATCGCTGTACAGGCAAGATCGGGTTCCTGGGCGAGCTGAACGTGTTCGTCCGGACGGCGAGCAAGTATGACGACTGCCGCGTGTTGTCGCTGCCGGCGCTGCGGCTGGCGCTGAAGCTGGGCTGGCAGACCGTGGGCGACCCGCGCGACCACCACGCAGTGGCGCCCTGTGCGCCCACGCGCCTGCCGGAGTACTCCAGCAACCAGGTGCCTTTGGACCAACACATTACTAAGCTGGATTGGAAGTCCAATTACTACCAATCTCACCAACACATTACTAAGCTGGATTGGAAGTCCAATTACTACCAATCTCACCTATTAGTTCAATATTTACGCGGTCCCTCCTGGAAACCTTTGTGGTTTATTTCTGGTGTATTTTTTTTAATGAATGATAATGGTATGGTAACCCCGCCTGCGCTAATTGTATACGCTGGCGGAGCACCAGTGAGGGATGATAGGTGACAATGAAAAAGCAAGTCAGTTAGTCCATCTTGATGAATACACCTGGAATTTAGCACGATGGTTTCCAGGGGGGACTGTGTGGAGGTCGACTTGATAGGGTATATTGCTAGCAATAGGACTGGTGGTCTGCATTACTAATAATGCCCCTCCCCCCTCAATTCCTGGTGTATTAGTCAGTTATTAGTAACAATGTGTTAATTGACTTTGCGCCTCATTATTGTTCCATCTATATAAACCAATAGTGTAGGGTCGTCATTCGTTTACAAAAAAATATTAAATCTGTAGTCTCAGTCACGGACCTGTGTTGGAAAATGATTAATTTTATTTCTGATGATGATGATATCAGCTGTTGTCAACAGTTGTTATCAACAACTGTCCAATATTGAAAGTAGGTTTTCCTTTGGTACGATTTTCGCCAATAGTTGCCAAGCTTGGTAGGCGGGTTAGCAACCGCAGTTAGGCCTTGGTAATGTTTTAAGAGGGACGCTGTTGTCTACCTTTCGACCATTATTATGTTTTTATTGACATTTAAATATGTATATCAACAGGAGCACGACTCGTATCGGGCGTTCCGCTCGCAAGGCTTGGATGTGCATTTGAGTATGGACACCAAGCCCATTGACGGAGAGGGGCCCGTAGTGCTGCTTTATGGGAGTACTCTGAGGTACATTAGTTCTTTTTTTTTTTTTTTAGAAAGTCTTTAAGAAAGTTTTTTTTTTATGAAACTTTGAATGGTAAACAAGCTGACGGCCCACCTGATTTAAAGTGGTAATCGTCGCCTATAGACATGAGCAGTACCATGGACATAACAGAGTATACTGTTTCGCCCATTATACTCTCTATGCGTTGTCATTCCTGAGGACTCAGGTGTTATTCCGATGTACTCTGTAACTTCACTGCCATATCCCACCCTTCAAACCGATGGTACCTTACATCCGCGGGCAACATTTTAGATACTTTTAATCACAGAATATGAAAGAGTTCTCGTGGGATAAGTAAAAAACTATAGTAACTTATACAGCTTAGTACATTACCTACTTAATTAAAGTCCTATTACAAAGCATCGTGTCGTTGTCACCCTTTGCCTTAGGTCATAATCACCTATTTTTTTTTATACAACTTAGAATGGCAAAAAAGCTGACGGCCCACCTGATGGAAAGTGGTAACCGTCGCCTATAGACATGAGCAGTACCATGGACATAATAGAGTATACTGTTTCGCCCATGATACCCCCCATGCGTTGCCATTCCTGAGGACTCAGGTGTTATTCTTCTGTACCCAGTAAATTCACGCTATATCCCATCCTTCAAACCGAAACACAGTTATGCAAACACAACTGCTTCACGGTTGAAACTCGAATGGGACAGAGGTACCCAAGCAATCGACTTTTGTACAAAGTCTCCCTCTGGTGAAGGCAAGGCAAGATGTTAACTTTGGTCCAGTTTTCTCAGACATAATAAATAGGTAGGTACATACATCGATACATACTAAACAGGAATAACGAATACCACGTGGACAAAGTCACAGGCATCAGCTAGTTATAAATGTGAGCGTGATTTATATGTTTGTTACTTCTTGGCGCTTTAACAATACAGCCAATCGTCACGAAGTTTTACACACTCATAGTATTTGAGATGGAGATGGACAGACTATCTTCTGTCCTTGTTTCGTCGGTAAAGAGTAGTAATGTATGATGTTACGGACCGTGTACGGTGGCCCCGGCAGATGGTTCGAGAGCCTGAAGCTGATCGTGTCGGGCGTGACGCGGCCGACGCGGCGCGGGCGCGTGTTCCGCAACGTGCGGCCGCGTCGCCCGCAGCTCTCGCGCCACTACCGCAACCTCAGCGTCTCGCTCACGTTGCACAACTTGCAGGTATGCCACCGCGCCCTCCCCCCACCTCCCACTCTCCACACACATACTGCAGAATTTTTGTCAATACCTCCGATCGAACTGTTTATAATTACTCCTTTTACAAAAGGTTCAGAACCGTTCTTTGTAGCAATCAATGGGGGAAACCTATGTCCAGCAGTGGACGGATAATGGTTGAAATGACGATGATTCAAAGGCTGCATGGAAGAGATTTCTTTAAGCGATAAGGTCGCTCATTGTTTCCTCGCTATGATTATTTCTTGTAATTGTTTGTATCTATAATAGGTTTATTGTAATATTTTGGAGGAAACAATAAATAGTATTTATCTGTCTGAGGGTACCAAGTGTTAGTTGTAAAATCGATGTGTTGACTCCATAATGTAGCTAATGTAATAAGAGTCCTTGCTCAGGTGTTTTACTGGTCATCCTCGTCCATGCAACGTGGTATCGAGATGCTCGGTGTCCGAGTCACTTGCAGCTCCAAGCACAGACTCTCGCTTGTCGCTGCTAACGATGGCTTAGTGCGGAGACCACGTGCCAACTGGACCACCGTATATATGAATTGCGACCTTAACGATGCGGAAATATGGCTAAAGACACCGGCGACCGTGCCAGATGACAGGGATAGTGATGAGGTAGGTAATATTTATTTAAAAATTAGATTTTTTCAAATATATACTTAATTAATCCGGTTCGAAGGACCATTTCATGATCTAGGCGTGGATAATGTTGGATGTATAAGATGAGTTGGTATGACTAAGAACTATTGATTATTAACTGTAACTTACTATGTTGCTCGTGTGGATAAAAATATCCTGTATATCAATCAAGAGTATAGTCTATCTGTGTACTAAATTTTATTGAAATCTGTTTAGCTATTTCAGCGTGACAGAATTGTTGTTGTTGTTTTTTTTAATGGATGAGCATACAATGGTAACCGGAGCTTGCGTTGTCAGCATACGCTGATGATGCGGCAGTGAAAAATGAAAGGTGAGGATAGAAGCAGGTCAATTGGCCCCTCGTAACAAATTTAACAATAATTGATCACGAAGATTTTCAAGGGGAACTACGTGGATGACGATCTGATATTGTTAACAATAGAGCTAATACGACAACATAACTTTCAAGAAAAGAGCATATTCCTTTTTAAAAGGCCGGCAGCACACCTGCAATGCTAAAATGCAATGCAATAAAAAAAACCCCTATAACTAACAATTCCTTTCCCCCATCGTTGAGGGTTCACACGGCTTACTGGTTGACATATAATGTGAGTATGTGTGTGTAGGCGGGCAGGGAAGGCGCCGCGGGCGGCAGGGCCGGGCCCGCCATGGAGAAGTGTTACTGCCTGTCGGTGCGGCGCGTGTCGTACGGCCGTGGCGGCGCGGGAGGCTCGGGCGGCGCCGCCGGTCACCGCCTCGCCGTGCACGACCTGCGCGGCGCCTGGACCAAGCTCAACAGGGACCTCGCCTTCGCACTTATCGACACCTACATCAAGACACAGGTACACGCAACTGTGTACGTACACGCACACGTATACGTATACATGCGCATCCATGTACGCACTCATCTAAATCTTGCTAACTTAAACGATTTGTTTTTTTTTTAAAGGATTACTATACAGTAATTGTGCAATGAGGGAGGTTGGCGGAGAGTAAAACACATGCGTTGACGGTTGTAAACTGGTGTACTTTAAATTTACATGATAAATACACAGGTTTTAACTAGTTGTAATATAACTTTTATATTAACTGTTACATATGCACTAAATATGGATATAATATTAGGAAGTCATTCCATACATTCTGACATGTTCATGGAACGTGTTATTAGTAACATTACCATATCAAAGCTGTTTAATTTATTTTAATTAGAAAAATTGAATGACAAGGTACTTTAACGATTACGTATTGATACTCTTAGCAGTATATGACTGTATTATAAAATTAGTAAAAAAAAACCAGTAAAATTTTAACATATGTATTTTACAGCAACTAAAGAAGAATTTGTCTACAAAAGCTTTGAAAGAAGAAGAGAATCCGGAAACTTCACCAATGCATCAGCGAGAAGCCGACGTGGTATCGCCGCCTCCGAATGCCACACAAGTAAGACCAATTATCGTAAGGACACGTGTAGTTTGTAGAGTGGTATATGGTAGCTTAGAATGGGATTAATGGATGATAATGGAATAGTAACCTTGCCTGTGCTAACGGTATACGCTGGCGGGGCACCAGTGGGGGATGATACGTGAGAAAGAAAAGGCAGGCCTGTTAAGCTCATCGTGATGAATATACCTGGAGTTCAGTAGGATGGTTTTCAGGGGCAACCACGTGGAGGTCAACCTGTTAGGGTATATTGTTAGCAATGGGACTGGTAGTTCAAATTATTAACAATTCCTTCCCCCCAGTTTAGGATGGTTATTTAATGTAAACTTATATTAGAGTCCATTATAAGTTTTTTCCTCAAATTGAACATTGTTCGGTGGGTAGTCGGGTGGCAGCGGCGCGGGCGCAGGCGCGGGCGGGTCGGGCATGCTGGCGGCGCTGGTGGCGGAGGCGGGCGGCGAGGCGCCGGTGGTGTTCAGCGACGAGCTGGCCGGCGACGGCGCCGCGCCGCCGCCGCACGCGCCGCACGCGCCGCACGCGCGCCACCTGCTCGACGACGACGCCGCCGTCACCGCCTGCCTCAGTCAGTATCATCCTCCCACTATCCCTATCGTACTCCCCGGCCTAGCGTCATTTATGCTCGAAAAGCCGGCAGCATACCTGCAATGCGTTGATTAGTGTTGTGGGTGATCATGCGCGGCGGTAGTACCAGACTTTGTACAAAAGTCGATTGCTTGGCCACCTCTGTCCAATTCGTGTTTCTACCGTGAAGCAGTTGTGTTTGCATGGCTGTGTTTCGGTTTGAAGGGGAAAAATTATGTACAAAATAAGAAACAAAAACAAAACTGCCAAACTATGCTTATAAACTATTAGGTTATCAATGTATGTAAAGTACTTCGATACAATAAAAATTTCTGATAAAATATGTCAATATCCAATTTACAATGAATGTCATTGTACAATTTGCACATTCTGTATATTGGATTATTATATGACACATTATTGTTTGCGAACGGTATAGAAAAGAGTTTAGTTGTACGAGAAGAGTGTTCAGTGGCTCTCGGGTTATTTACTCCAATAAATTACCCTCCAATTCATTATTTACAATTAGGTAACAGTGTATGTCATTAATATGTTTATATGCATAAAGAATGGATGTAAAGTATGGATTGGTGTATAGACTATGTTAAGATTACATATACTTCTATATTGTATTTACTTTTATAAACAATATACCATAATTAGTTACAACAAGTTTACAGTTAATTTATACCGAGAGAGGATTCGTTGTAATAAATTTCACGTATGTCTTAGACAGTAGTTATTTTTTTTCTGTCATTGGTGTTTTTTTTTTTAATGAATAATAATGGCATGGTAACCCCGTTTGCTCTGTCGGTATACACTACCGGGGCACCAGTGAGAGGTGATAGGTGAAGATGAAAGGCAGGTCAGTTAGCCCATCGTGATGAATTCAACGACAAATTAGTCACGATGGTTTCCAAGGGGAACCGCGTGGAGGTCGACCTGATTTACATTGATAGCAATAAGGATTAATCTCCTAATTACTAACAATCCCTTTCCACCTGTAATTGGTGTTTGGGCGTGAATGTAACGGTGTGCGCGTGGGTGGGCAGTCGAGCTGGTGAACTCGCAAGTGGTGCTGAAGGGGTGCGAGACGCGCGGCTACGTGATCTTGTGTGCGGCGCGCGCCGAAGTTCGGCAGCGCGTGCGGCGCGGCGCCGCCGGCCGCGCCGGCTGGAGCGGCTGGAGCGGCGCCCTCACCGCCATGCAGTACTACGCCACCGTCAGCGCCGGCGACACCGACCAGCTCGACGGTGAGACTAGTTTCCATTATATAACTATGGCAAAAACATTGTGTATATATTTGTCTAGACTAGGCGTTGTTTTGCGGAAATTCACATTCCTGGCCCTCTAGACAAGTGGCAAGCGAATTCATAGATGGAATCGACATCGCTACCGAGTCCGTGAGATAGAATGAGATAGCAACGTCGGATGTCTCATTCCAACTCTTGGACTCACTAGCTATGTCGATTCCATTGACGGATTCGCTTGCTATTTGTCTAGAGACTCTGGTTGGTTGATTAGAATTATTTCTTTTAATTCCACTACCATTAGTATGATTGCGATTGTCAACACTCAGAATGATTACTATTTGTTATTACCAAAAGTATTTACGAACTTTTGTATTAGTCCGCCATTTTGTTTACGCACGTTTTGCAACACGTGTTTCATCTCTACGAATTATTTTCAGGCAAATTCATAAATTGCTGCTCGGACTTTACTGTTAATTGTTCAGCGCCTAAACTGCAAATGAAAAGAATGATGTTTTATTTTCTTTATAATAAACAAATATAGAGTTAAAAAAAAATAAGACAATTACATTATTAAGTAATACATCAGCTAATAAAATTTGCACAGACAAAGGAAACGCTACTTTTGAAAATTAAAATATTAAAGCAAAGACACATGTTCATGGCAAGGGGTGAGCAATATATAGCAATATCTATATATTTCAGTTACAATATTCTATATACTGGCTCAATGACGAGTATGTTAAAAATCTATTATCAAAAAAATAATATTGGATATATACAGACTTTTAACATATTCGAAAACGGATAGTAGTTCGATATGGGCGATATCGGATCGGTATCGAGACTGGGCATGCGTATGCGTGTCCGTGGGTAACGGGGAGGCGTGCGCGTGCGCAGAGAACATCCAGTGGGTGTCGGTGGAGGAGATCTCGGAGCGGTGGGCGGGCGCGGAGATCAGCGCGCTGCCGGACGTGCCGCGGCTGGTGGGCAGCGGGCAGGCGGCGGGCGGGGTCATCGGCCGCACCGTGGGGCCCAGCTGCGGCGCCGCGCCCGCGCAGCTGCAGCGCGTCGTGTCGCGCTGCGCCTGCGAGTTCTACTACGTGGCGCACGCCGCGCGCCCGCCCGCCGCCTGGCCGCCCGCCGCCGCGCACCAGCCCTACGACTCCTTCACGCTCATGCACCACGACCTCGACGTCTGCACCAACTCGCTGCAGGTGCGCGCGCTCCTTCCCTCTTCTCTCTTCTCACACCTCTCATCTCACCTCCCCCCTTCACTACGTGGCTCACCTTATGTCGAGATTTTCTATTGTACTGAGGGCTTACCATGCAATGTTTTCCAAATTTCGATGCTGAACGAAATATAAATTTAATATTACAATTTTAACACATTTTTTTACAGTAACATTTGTGATAAAAAAAATGTTAAGCTTCATTTACTGGGCCAATATCAAACACGAAATTGAATCCAAAAATTTAGAATTTTATTTCATGGTAGACCCCCGGGTGTACTATGCTCTGACTCGTTAACTGCCTCTTACCATGTTGTAAAAAATGAAAAAAATTCAGTTCCTATAATAGATTAAATTTAAAAACTTGTTTACATATGTTTTGCTCTAGAAAATTAGATTAGAAATAATACCCAATAATTTTCATAAAATAACGCCCGATACTGCCGAGTCCCCAGTGATAATTAACACGTAATATAATGCGCTTAAAAATCATAGAATAGGCCACCCCTTCCTTACCCGTGGGTGTCGTAAGAGGCGACTAAGGGGGGGCCAGGGATTGACAGTAATATCCCTCTGAAAACATCTCTAAAGCCTGACTGTGGTTGCCAAATTGCCCCTGCTAAGCGTGGTAACTAGTGGCAAAACCCTTAACGGGGAGGCTTATATTCAGCAGTGGACAGTTAAAGGCTGATATGATGATGATGAAAGATCATGGAAAGGTCACAGTGTCACAGATTTCTCTATCTAGAGCTGTGTTTCCCAACGTGGGGCTTACGCCTCACAAGGGGGCAATTTGATGAAAAATGCTTTGCTACGAGTAGATATCGGTGCAAAATTTAACAAAAAAAGTAATTAAAAAAAATGCAATAAATATTTATTAGGTATAAATTCGTTTGACGTTACCAAAATATCATCTGAGCCATTAGAGTCGTCGTAAACTTTGTGGAGAAAAATTATGTATGGGGGCATAAAAATTTTGAGAAATGTTCAAGTGGGGCGTGCACAAAAAAAGGTTGGGAAACACTGTTCTAGAGGATGCCTATTTTTCAATAATAATAATAATAATGCGGTGTACGATGGTGCGCAGTACGCGATGGTGCTGGACGTGGTGAACAACGTGGTGCTGCACGTGGAGCCCGAGCGGCGCCGCACGCTGGAGCGGCGCGCGCGCATGCGCTTCCAGCTGCGCCTGCACCAGGACCAGGACCCGCGCCACCTCATACACAAGCTGCAGACGCAGGTCCACCGCAACCTAACAACAAGGAGTTACAAGGAATGATAAAACTAAAACTGTAAATCATATGGTTGCTTCCTTTCTTCTTATGCAAATGTAATTAGTAAAAAGAGGACGGAAGACTCACCATCACTTGCTATTTTGGTCAATTCATAGCAGGCTAGTGGATAGAAAATGTTTGATATGTCAATTATTTGCCAATGACAAATTTTACATTACAATTTATATATTCGACACAGTTTATGTAGACAGTATGCAAGCGGGTTGTATCTGTATTTGGTAGGGTTATACGGCCGTGTAACTAAAAGAGGAGGCCTGCCTTACACCACCAACAGGACGACCCGTCGCATTGGATACTCGGTAGTCGTACAAACGGGAACCCGGGATCCAACATAAGCGCCTCGAGGTACGTCGTGTGGTTTTTAGTGGGTACGAATCCCACACACCACAGCTGCCCTCCCTCCGGCAGATGGGACGGTCTTCCCGAAGATTTTACACACGGAAAAAAAAGGGTTATACGGCCGTATAACATTTTCTATACGCTAACTTGCTATGAATTGACAAAAATAGCAACTGATGATGTATCTTTCGTTGTCTTTTTTATTAATTATATATGCATAAGAAGAAAGGATGCAACCATATGATTTACAGTTTTCATTTTATCATTCCTTCTATGTAATTCCTTGTTCTTAGACCACAAAGCGCATGTATCACTCCAATTCACTATCTTGTTTACGATTTACCTTTACATTATACAGATAGAGCATCCAGTCTCAAAAACGACTCAACTTTTTGACAGCTAACTGTCAAATTGGCTGACTCGTTTTTTTTTTATTAGTGTTTTACATACTTATGTACATAATGTATCTAGACGTGTCTATATTTAATTATTTAATAAATCAAGTGAGAGCTTATGCATAAAAAAGAGCAAGAAATTACAAGACAAAATATACATAGAAGTGATAAAGGAATCATAACTATTTATCACGCAAAATTGTATGAAAATGTTGACCCGCTTTTTTCGAAACATTTGTATGGAGACACTCTATCTATATAATCTAAGGAGTTAACATAGTTTTAGTAAGTCATAGAGTATATATTTTTACATGCAGGTGAGGGAGTCTTTGGCGCGGCTTCGGCGGCTCGAGAAAGAGTACTACTTGAAGAACCGGTCCATCACCGGTAACGATCCCGTGGCTCTCGAGGAACTGAAGAATCTCGATGATCAGGTAAGGCAGAACAAATATTTTGGATTGTCTTGTGTGAGTGGTCGTTGAATGAAGAACTGGACGCAATTTTTTTTTTAATGAGGTGAAAATGGAATGGTAATGCCGCCTGCGCTTCTAGTTATACGCTTGCTATCGATAGGCGAGGATGAAGTTGGGTCACTTTGCTCGACATAGCGACTTTACTTGAAAATCAACTACATTGGGTTTTAGGGGGCGTGGAAATCGATCTGACAGTGTGTATTGCTAGTATTGAGAACTAATTTTTCAAGGCACTGTCTTCCATGCACAACCATTCTTTGGAATCAACTTCCAGCAGCAGTATTTCCGAACCGATACGACGACATAACCTTCAAGAAAAGAGTATATTCCTTCTGCAACGGCAGCACACCTGCAATGTCGTTGGTGTTGTGGGTGATCATGGGCGGCGGTAGTCACTTACCATCAGGTGAGCCGCATGCTCGTTTGCCCCTGTGTTGTAAAAAAAACCTTTTATTTTTATACCACTGAGGTGGCAAACAAGCATACGGCCCTCTTGCTGGTAAGTGGTTACCGTAGCCTATGAACATCTGCAATACCAGAGGTATTACGCGTGCGTTGCCCACCCTGAAGAAACCTTTTTACCCTCCCTTTTGAAGAACCTCATAACGAGGAATTTCTTGGGGCCATAGGGCATAAGGTGGGGGTTTGAGGCTGGGGCGGGAGCGGTGTGTAAAGGTGGCGGTGGTCGGCAGGTGAACGAGTGCAAGGAGAGCGTGTGGTCGCTGGGCGAGGAGCTGGACGCGATGGTGCGTGCGTGGCGCGAGGTCCGCGCGGCGGCGGCGGCGCCGGCGCCTCGCCTGCCGCACGCGCCTCCACACCGCTACAACGAGATCTGCTTCAAGTCGGCGCGCTGGCGGCTCACCGACGCCGACGGACAGCTCGGTATCGCCGACCTCTTACTCACCAACTTCTTGTGAGTTTACGTCATCTCTATATAGTCTTTTTTGAATATATTTAAAATTGGAACGTTCTTTTTTTATTTGAATATACACGTTATACTTATAGAATGTGTTTACTTATGATCTGTTTTTTAAAATAAGAATAGTGCTTTATAGTATATCACAAAAATTAAATTTTGAAAGTGGAATGTTTTTTTTTTAATTGAATATATTTTATTCTTATTGAATGTGAAATATTTATTTTTCAAAATAAGAATAGTGTTTTATGGTATGCCACAAAAATATTTTAAAAATGGAATGTCTTTTTCCTCATTTGAATTTGAATTCAAGTAAATATTGTAAGTATTGATGTTGTCATGTGCATTAGTTAAATCATGTTTTTATTTATGAAAACCTGTAATTGGCTTTTTGTTATTTTTTTTTTTATATTAAATTTTTTAGGTCTCGTTTTTTTTTCTTAATAAAAAATAAAATAAAAAAGTCTTCAAAGTAAACTTGTAGATCAAATAGTGCTTTGTTGTATCAGGTACACCAAAACGTCAAGATCGGACGACTCCGTGGAGCATCAGCTGGAAGTGGGCTACATGCGTGTTACCAATCTGTTGCCGAATGAACCGTTCCCAGAGGTAAGTACTGTTACTACTTTCTGTCAGGTGTCAGGAGATCATTAGATTGTCAACCGACTTAAAAAAAGGAGGTTCTCAATTGAATGATTTCTTTTTCTTTGTTTGTTACGTTATATTTGTTACGCTAGTTATAAACTGATTTGGACTTTTTTTATTTGGAGGGATATACTTTCGGACTAGTCTCATAGAAATGTTATTAAAATCGGTTTAGTAGTTTAATTTTTTAATTAAATTATTGTTAATTGTTTTTGTCACATTTGTAGGCGGTTCTTTTATGGAACATATTTTTAAATTGTAAGTAGTATTATACTGGATGGATACATTCGATTCAAATACCAGTATATTTGAATTTAAAATGCGATAGTATGTCTGTATTTTAATTTTTAATTAGTAAGTTTTTAATTTTAATACAACGATTTACTTATTGGCCAAGCAATCCTGTGATTTAGTTACAAAAACAGAGGATTGAAAATTTTCTTCTTTTCTAAGTTATTAAATAATTTTTAAAAAGAGTAAACGGTCCGTTAGTTGGCAATCGACTGATCGTGTTTGGAGGATTTGTGTCACAAGCCAGATGTTCGATCTGAAGCTAGTTGTGTATGAGCGTGAGTGCGCGTGCGCAGGTGTTGGTGCCGGCGACGCCGTCGGGCCGCGCGGCGGTGGCGCGGCGCGCGGCGCTGCGCGTGTTCTGCCGCGACCGGCCGCCCGTCGGCGGCATCGCCGTCAAGGAGCACTTCGAGGTCAACATCGTGCCCATCAAGATCGGTACGCGCTCGCTCCCGCTCCCTGTCCTGCTCCAAGTCTTAGTCCCAGTTCCTGCACTAACGCCAGCCCCAGCCTCAGTTCCAGACCTAGTCCCAGCCTCAGTCCCAGTCCCAGTCTTAGTACCAGTGCCAGTCCCAGTCCCCAGTCCCAGTCTTAGTACCAGTTCCAGTCCCAATCCCCAGTCCCAGTCTTAGTACCAGTCCCATACCAGTCCCAGTCCCAGTCCTAGTCCCGGTCTTTGTGCCAGTCCCAGTCCCTGTCCCACCCCATTCCCAATCCCACTCCCAACTGTTAATATACTGTAACATCCATGATATAACTCATACGTTACTATTACTGACACATGAATATTAAAAGACACGATCACATATTTCGTTTAAAGATCGATTTTTGAAATTTCATCTATTAATATATCTAATAAATGTTAGTTTGTAAAAATGGATGTATGGATATTAACCATGATAGTTTCCAGGGAAAATCGCGTGGAGGTCGACCTGGTTGGGTATATTGCTAGCAATGGGATTCTCAGTCTCCATTACTAACAATTCCTTTCCCTCCACTACTAAATGGATTTGAATTAAATTTGATATGTTAAATTTTATATATCTAACATAGCTCAGAGGATACTTTATGTATTGATAAACTTGCCCAAAACCGTGGGATGTAGCTAGTAATAAATATATGAAGAAAAAAATTATTTATAAATGCCATTCTAAGGTCTCACCAAGAAGTTCTTCAACACAATGCTGAAGTTCTGCTTCCCCGAACGGGACCCTGATTCTATCGAGGACGGAGACGACGAGGACGGCACCCTGAAGGCCAGCACATCCACTGCTACACTCGTCTCTACCGGCTCCAAGAAGGTGAAGAAGAAGAACAAAGACTCCAACTCTAACTTCTACGTGAAAAGAGATAAGAAGGACAAAGATGATGTTGAGAAGATGAAGGTAAATTTAAATGTTATTTATCATCAAATTAGCCTTTAATTATCCACTGCTGAACATAAGCTTTAGGTTTTGTCAGTTGCTACGCTTGGCAAGCGGACTGGCAACCCCAGTTAGGCTTTGGAGATGTTTTAATAGAGACCGTTTACCATCAGACGGGCTGTATACTTGTTTGCCAAGTTTGTGGTATAAATAAAATATGAATCATCATTATTCAGAACATTTAGGTAGCATTATGACGGACTATATCTGAGGTACAGACATCGCAGTGTTACAAAACAAAATAATATAAAACAAACAGACAAACAAATAAACTCACTTTCGTATTTATAATATTAATAAGGACGACCCACTCGTGTAACAGGAGCGTGCCGAGAAAAACAAGCTGTTCATCTACATCAAGATCCCGGAGGTGCCGGTGCGCGTATCATACAAGGGCAGCAAGGAGAAGAACCTGGAAGACGTACGCGATCTGCCACTCGTGCTGCCCACTCTCGAGTACCACAATGTCACGTGGACTTGGCTCGATCTACTGCTAGCCACCAAGACCGACACCAGGAGGTGCGTACTGGAGTGTAAACTGTGCCGGCTTACGTGCGGCATGGGCTGAGTTATGTGTGGCAATGGCTGGGTTATGTTTTTTTTTTTTTTTTTTTTACAACACAGGGGGCAAACGAGCATGCGGCTCACCTGATGGTAAGTGACTACCGCCGCCCATGATCACCCACAACACCAGCGGCATTGCAGGTGTGCTGCCGGCCTTTTAAAAAGGAATATACTCTTTTCTTGAAGGTTATGTTGTCGTATCGGTTCGGAAATACTGCTGCTGGAAGTTGATTCCAAAGAATGGTTGTGCGTGGAAGAAAGTGCCTTGAAAAACGCACGGTGGAAGACCGCCACTCGTCCAGATGATTGGGATGAAACTTTAGTTTGTGGCGGGTTGTACGGTGGTGAAAATCAGCAGCAGGTATCAATCCGAACAATTCCTCAGAACACTCCCCATGATAAATTCGGTAGAAGATGCACAGAGATGCAACATCTCTGCGCAGTTTCAGTGGATCAAGTCGGACAGTAAGGCGTTGACTATCGATAATTCGAGTCGCCCGACTCTGAATGCGGTCTAACGGAAGGAGTTGGTACTGTGGCGCTCCTGCCCACAGTAAGAACTGAGTAGTGTGCAGTAAGAACTGAGTTATGTGCAGTAAGGGTCGAGTTATGTGTAGCATAGGCTGAGTTACGTGTAGCATAGGCTGAATTATGTGTAGCATGAGCTAGGTTATATGAAGTATAGGCTGAGTTACGTGTAGCATAGGCTGAATTATGTGTAGCATGAGCTAGGTCATATGAAGCATAGGCCGAGTTACGTGTATCATGGGCTGAGTTATATGTAGTATGGGCTGAGATGAATTGAGATTACATTCTTTATATTCTTTTATAAATTGCTTAAAAATTACATAAAAATTGACCAAATTTTAAATCAAAAGGTCTCTTGATTTGCATAGAAACATCAGTCATTTACTGTACGTTCTTATACATTATTTTCATTGAGAGTGATGAATTTCTATGGGTTTACACAGGGTGATAGTGTCTCAAGCCATCAGGCAGAAGCTGCAGCTGCGCAGGAGCGCCGCCACGGCACCAGAGCCACTTGAGGAGGACAAGGCGAGACTCCTGCTTGGCGAGAGAACAGTTAGTTATTTTATATAGTATTTATCCGACTGTGGAAGAGAGAGTGATGCTTTTTATGTGTATGTATGTTTGATGCTGATATGAATACGATTCTTTATTCAATTTACCAAGAACCTCATTATGTTTTATTAAAATGTAGTTCATTTAAAAAATATTCTAGTAATATTATAAATATGAAAGTTTGTATGTTTGGATATTTTTTACTCAATCACACATAAATGGAGACTTTGTACAAAAGTCGATTGCTTGGGTATCTCTGTCCCATTCGTGTTTCTACCGTGAAGCAGTTGTGTTTGCATGACTGTGTTTCGGTTTGAAGGGTGGGACATGGCGTGAATTTACAGGGTACAGAGGAATAACACCCGAGTCCTCAGGAATGACAACGCATGGGGGGCGAAACAGTATACTCTGTTATGTTCATGGTACTGCTCATGTTTATAGGCGACAGTTACTACTTTCCATCAGGTGGGCCGTCAGCTTGTTTGCCATTCTAAATTGTATAAAAAAAAAATGGTTGAATAGATTTGAATTGTTGGCAAACGGGTAGGTTACATCCCAACTTACGAGTACATATAGGATATTAATATTAATGCACGTGGGCAAAGCCGCGGGAAACGGCTAGTAAATAAATAAAAATAATATATAATAGTATTTATTGTCATAAGCATGAAAAGTGGAAAAGAAAGAATTTGAAATGCATCGAAAGAAATTTTTTTTTTTTATTTATGCTGACAGGAGACTGACGTTCATGCAGCGTCGTTTTATTTCACATTGTGTTCTTTATCTAATTGGCAATGGTAAACAAGTTGACGACCCACTTAATGGAAAATTGTAATTGTCGTGATTGATATCAATCACGTGGGTTTAAAGTACGTTTAACAAATTGGACTGAACGGTAATAGGAAATTACGCAAAGCAGCGTGCCTACCATAGTGTCACGCAGATCGACAATCGACAGTTCTTTTTTTAATGGGTGATAATGGAATGGCAACCCCGCCTGCGCTATCGGTATACGTTGGCGGGGCACCAGTGAGGGATGGATGATAGGTGACGATGAAAGCAGGTCAGTTAGCACATCGTGACGAATTCCACTCGAATTAACCAGGATGGTTTCCAGGGGGAACTGCGTGGAGGTCGACCTGATAGAGTGTATTGCTGGCAATGGGTCAGCTAGACATCATTACTAACAATTCTTTCTCTTCCAAAAATCGACAGTTTAGACAAATGTGCAGAAATCAGAGGAGAGATTGTTGGATCCCATTGCTAGCAATTTTAAAATTAGGTCGACAAAAAAATGTTTAAGTATGAATATCAGTATATTATAATGGGTTTAAGAAAGTCGGTTAAGTGCGAGTCGGACTCGCGCAACGAGGGTTCCGTGCAAAATTAGCAATTTTTTTTTGTGAAATGACTACAAATTTACGGTTTTCGGATTTTTGTCTTTACTTGTGCTACATGACATCGCTTCTTGCCAAATTTCATGATTCTAGGACACCGGGAAGTACCCTATAGCTTTTGATTCCCTTTGCGAATGTCAAAATATGCGATATAAATGAAATATAAACGGCTGTATTTTTTGATTGCGTCGATTTAGAAGCTTGATGTTTCCACTGCTTTAAGAGATTGTGAACCTGAGTATATTATATTAATTTTATATAATAAATTGATACCTCCACGCGTTCCTAAGAAAAAAGTTATTTACAGAACGGGCGAACGGACAGCCAATGAAGTGATCCTATAAGGGTACCGTTTTTTCCTTTATACTTACCCTCCATTGCTAGCAATACAGGGTGTATTAGGTTGACAAAAAAGTATGGCTGTATATACTATTTAATATTCCCTTCCAGGTGACCGAGAACAAGCCGCAGAAGAAAAGCACGCCCAGCGTGTTCAAATTTTCCAAATCGTAGCGTAAGCGGAACACGTGTAATCGAATCAGAACCAAATGTTAATGTGCGGTAAGGTTACATTTTCATTGACAAGATATTAGTGGATTTGTCGTATTATTATGTTAATTTATTTTTATTATTTTATACGAAAATGTGTGAAGAGCGAAGTTTATACAGGGTGAAATCGTTAGGTATTTTTTTTTACTATTAATGGGTCCCGCGATTGATCACGATCTCACTTAATATTTTTTTTTAATGGATGATAATGGAATAGTAGCCCAGCCTGCGCTATCGGTATACGTTGTCGGGGCACCAGTGAGCGATGATAGGTGAGAATGAAAGCAGGTCTGTTAGTCCATCGTGAGAAATTCCACAAGATTCCACAAGAACCACGATGGTTTCCAAGGGGAACTGCGTGGAGGTCGAACTGATAGAGTGTATTGCTAGTAATGGAACTAGTAAATCCCCATTACTAACAATCCCTTCCCAGGGTATAGCTGTGAGCTAACTAACCTGCCTTTTCATTCTCACCTATCACCCCTCACTGTGTTTACCGTTAGCGCAGGTAGGGTTACCATTCTACTATTTTCATTAAAAAAATGTCTTCTTACTACTTCCCCCTCAACAATAAGAGTGTATTATAGTTTACGTACGACTAGCGATTTCACCCTATATACGGTACTAGAAGATACTATAAATTATTATTATTCTTTTAGGACAGTGTTCAACCAGTATGTTTTGTTCCAAAAGAAACACTAATTGAAAAAACGTCATAAAATTTACACACACAAACGACGTAACATATACACATACAGAAACACCGTGTTAGCATGGCAAGTACAGTAATACCTCGACTTACGTTACTCTGATTTACGCGAACCCGGAATTATGCGATTATTAAATATTGTTGATTTTATTGTTTGAACTAGCGACCCGCCCCGGCTTTGCACATATGCAATGCTGATACTAAATACCGCTGCTGCCCCCCGGCCGGTGCCGCCGCAACCGCTATGTCCTTGCATTTTAAATCTGTAATATCTACGAAAATATTCATTTAAATTACATGCTGTAAAGGGCTATGTTGATCTATATTAAATGCACAATGTATTTAAGGTACTTAACTGGATAAGGATTAATGCTGTATTGTTTGAAATCGCTTCGTAATTAAGCCATTATTTTTCGTAAAAAGTAAAGGTAAAAACATGGTTATTGCGGTTTATTCCTAAGAGATAATCAAATACCATCGCGGACTTTTTTTGTAGACCTTCTTAAAGTGTATAATACTGTAGTACATTATTTTGATCTATTTCGTAGAGTTTAGCTAGCAGTGATTCTCAACCACTGTGCCGCGGCACTTTTGTGTGCTGCCAAATTTTGCAAATATTTAAAATTTTTGTCATAAACTATTTATGCAGTGTGTGTGTGTGTGTAGTAAGTAAATAATTTTTATCTTTATCTTTGTGTGCCGCCAAATTTTGAAATCGTTAAATATGTGCCGCAACAAAAAAAAGGTTGAGAATCACTGAGCTAGCGTTTTACAATGTAAGCGCCAAAAATGGGTTTATTGACGACATCACATTAGAAATCTCTATAATTATCAGTGTTTCTCAACTATAATATACATATAAACCTTCCTCTTGAATCACTTTATCTATTAAAAAAACCGCATCAAAACCCATTGTACAGTTTTAAATATCTAAGCATATATAGGGACAGACAGACGGGAAGCGATTTTGTTTTATACTAGGTAATGATGATGTCGCACAAATTTTGATTACTTACATTTTACCTACATTATCGTTAAAGTAATGTGCATATTTGAACGTGTCCTGCAAAATGGACGCATAACTTTTTTTTTTTTCGGTCCCGGATATTTAATTCCAGGTATATTACTTTATTAATGGAGTTTTTTGTCTTATTAATATTTGGACGCATAACTTAGGGGCTAGGAGTTCACATGCAGGCGTTAACGATTATATTATAGTTAGTAAGTTACCATAAGTAAGGTATCATGGGCGAAACAGTATACTCTGTTATGTCCATGGTACTGCTTATGTCTATAGGCGACGGTTACCATTTTCCATCGGGTGGGTCGTCAGTTTGATTGCCATTCTAAGTTGCTTAAAAAAAAATACCCCGAATTACGTGAATTTGACTTACTCGATTATTGTTCAGTCCTATTTATCAGGTAAGTACGAGGTATTGCTGTACATTTTTTTTATTTTTTTTTAAAAGTATGTTCCATTTATTATAGTAATTTCTAGACCAAGTGACTATTATAAGCACGTGAAATTTGTAACTAAATGATTAATTTATTGTTTTACCTATTAAAATGTGCAATTCTTAGATTTTTCTTCTATTTATTTAAGTGATCGTCGCCTTTTATATTATTTAAGTGATATAGTACATTACTGCAGCGGCCAGCAACTGAGGCATTGATGGACGAAGGTGCAAATGTGGGCCGAGGCGTAGCCGAGCCACACATACGTGAGTCCATCAATGCCTAGTTGTGGCCAGGGCTTGTATAGTACTTTTCTCAAACAATGCGCGGAAATCAAAAACACAATTTTATTTTTTAAGTTCAATGACGAATAACGAATAATAATAATTTTTCACGCGCCATAATGTTCCTTTGTTTTTTTTTTAAATAAACAGCTTTCTATTTGCAAGCCAGTTCGAAATTTGAATAAAACCTTTTATTAAATTCTTGGTAGCCACGTTTCGAAGTAAAAGGTCATTCCATTTTTAAATTACAGGACAGATATGAGTTTACATAGTAATTTATCTGGCCGCAAAACACGACAGATATGGATTTTCATACAACTTTTGCCGGCCGCTGCCCGCATGTATCTGACCAGTACGGCAATTTTGATTCATCTCTAAGAAGATTGTCAAAATAATGCTCACATTTCCAAGCATGTTTGAGAAAAAGTATATTGTGATGAAAGAGACTTTATTTTCATAAATTTTGCATATTTATATTAAATTGTGGTAAATATTGGAGTAATTTTTTTTTATGGTTTAAGACAAAATTATGCATTCCCCCTTGCTAATGTAAATTACTTGTATGTATCACCAAGAGTTATTGTTAGATCGTCGGAGGATATTGTCAAAGGCGTAGATGACGTTGGCACAGGATTTTAAATCATGGTGTAATGGAGAGAAGGTCTATTATCGACAGTAGATAGATGAGGAGTAATAACAATATGATGATAATTACGAATTGGGTAGATAGATAGATAGATAAATAATTTACTTACATTACTTACAGCACACAAATTACAATACAAACATACACATAATACACAGTAAAAGAGATAAAGGAATGAAAATTAAAAAAAAAAGCAACCTACATAGAATATATTAGTAATAATTCCCCATATTTTTTTTCTCTAGATTCTTTGATGTTATAAATTAAACGTCTTTTATTATAAACTAGCGGTCCGTCCGGGCGTCGCACGGGTGCACATTTTTACATTTTAAAAAGTGGCCATAAAGGCTGCACACGCGACGGAAGCTCAAAAATGGAGTAACTTCCTCCGTTTTCCCAACATTTCCCTTCACTGCTCTGCTCCTATTGATCGTAGCGTGGTGAAAAGTATACTATAACCTGTCCGGGAGTATGAAGAATAATTGTACCAAGTTTCGTTAAAATCCGTCTAGTAGTTTTTGTTTCTATAACGAACATACAGACAGCCAGACAGACAAAAATTTTACTGATTGCATTTTTGGCATCAGTATCGATCACTAATTACCCGCTGATAGTTACTTTGGAAATATATTTCATGTACAGAATTGACCTCTCTACAGATTTATTATAAGTATAGATTGACTATTTGGTTATTTAATTTTTATAATAAGCAAATCATCATCATCATATCAGCCGTTAACTATTCACTGCTGAACACAGGCCTCTCCCTATTGAGGGATTTTGCCAGTAGTTGCCACGTTTGGCAGGCGGATTGGCAACCGCAGTTAGTCTTTGATGATGTTTTGAAAAGGAAACAGCTGCCCGTCCCTTGCCCTCCCTTAGTCGCTTACGACACTCACAGTAAAGAAGGGGGTGGCCTATTCTATACTGGGATCACATGGCCAATAAGCAAATAGTTTTTTTTACAACACAGGGGGCAAACGAGCATGCGGCTCACCTGATGGTAAGTGACTACCGCCGCCCATGATCACCCACAACACCAGCGGCATTGGCATTGGCAGCGGCATATATATATATATATATATATTGAATAATTTTCAAACTGCTCGTCGCAAACGCAAGTGTACTTCGAACCTTATTTGGTCACGTTTCGTGTTTAAATATATGTAGGCGTGTATAGCTGTTTATATCACCATGTATAGGAACTGTTGAATGGTCAAGAGTATTTTCGATTATAATATTGTTCCGTTCATTCCTATCTCGTACATATAGGTTGTGGAATAAGGTCCTTTTTTCAAGGTTTTTTTCCCTTACAATACTTGAAAAATGTGCCTACACACACATTTAAAAGGCCGACCACACACAAACAACTCCTATCGTCTTGCAAGCGTTCATGAGCGACGGTAGCAGTTTTCCATCAGGTGGACCGTCCGCTCGTTTGTCTCTAACAATAAAAAAAATCGTGCATTAAATATATATATATAAAAAAAGATTACCAAGCATGGTAATTACTGGCAACACCCTCCTCTTCTCCCCTAAAGGGGAGGCCTAAGTTCAACAGTGGATAGTTAACGGTTTAAACGTTACGATACGAAATAAAAATAAGACAAAACCAGGACAAGTTGGATGTTGTAACTGATTAAAATATTTTAAATGTATTTATGAGAATTCTAAAAGGAAGTAATTTCTCTATACGACAGTAGTATATGTACATATTTTAATGCTATATGGGATCAAAATCTCTGCGACATTGGATGCTGGAAGTGTGTTTAATTTTATTCTCTTTGAATTGTATAATTTGTTCAATACAACTTAATAAAATAGTACATTACTGCAGCGGCCAGCAACTGAGGCATTGATGGACGAACGTGCAAATGTGGGCCGAGGCGTAGCCGAGGCACACATACGTGAGTTTATTTATAGGGTTATTACATTAATTCTTTGTTTACATTTTCATTAAGTACTATTGAATAGCATGCGTGCAAGTGACAGCTGACATTTTGACAGTTGTCAGTTTAAACGAAATGTATGCTAGTGAGGTCTTTAGATCGAAATTTTTTCTAACAATCAAATGGATTTCTTGGAAGTGACGATCTTGTAATTTTTTTTGTATAATTTTAGTGAGCTGTCCTCTGCACGATACTGTAACATATGGGGTATAGTGTCACTTAGTGATTCCAAAAATAATAATTTAGCCTTCATTGAAATGTAATATACTTAGATTATATTGATAGAGCATTGAGTATCAAAAACGTGTCTTTTAATTGGCTAATTTGAAATTTGGCTGATTTAATTTAATAGATTTTTTAATCAAGACAAAGCGCGCTATTAATTCAGTGTTGCAAGTAACTAGATTAAAAATTAGACTGACAGGCTGAGACTGACTGACAGCCTAAGTAGGTTTTTTTAATTTAAACTAATATCTAATTATTATATTATTATTATATAAATTTAAATATGATCGTATTGGTTAAAATTTACAAACGTGTATTAATTAAAACGATGGTTAGTTTCAATTAAATTTTAAACCATTTTTTTATTTAATCTAACAATATAATTTCTCCTGTATGTGTAGAAAATGAAGATTATGGTAACCCCATCACGTAACATGGATAACAAAAGTTACCATAAGGTATCATGGGCGAAACAGTATACTCTGTTATGTCCATGGTACTGCTCGTGTCTATAGGCGACGGTTACCACTTTCCATCAGGTGGGCCGTCAGCTTGTTTGCCATTCTAAGTTGTATAAAAAAAAAACCTGTTTTTAGCGAAGCACTTGTACTTAGACACTCTATCTATATAATCTAATATATTACACTGAAAGAAATATTCCTGCGGGCTGTAATTTTGAATAAACGTTGGTATTTTCTTTTTTGATGGGTGAAAATGGTATGGTAACGCCTGCGCTAACGGTATACGCTGGCGGAGCACCAGTGAAATGTGATCGATGAGGATGAAAACAGGCCAGTTAGCCAATCATGATGAATTCATCAAGAATTAACCATGATAGTTTCTGACTCGACCTGGTTGGGTATATTGCTAGCAATGGGATTCTCAGTCTCCATTACTAACAATCTCTTTTGCCCCCAAACGTTGGTATTAACTAGAGAAGGAATTTACGAGCAAGAAATATAGTTATAAATATTGTGCGAATTGAATTGTTAATTATTGAAGAAAGACTGTTCATACATAATTTTGATGTTATAAAAATATTGTCATAGCCTTATATTTCAAGTATACCTAACTACATATAGTATTGTTTTTTTTTTATATCGGGGAATGATTCTTTTTCTTGTATACGAGATTCTGCAATGTGAAAATATACACACAAGCACACTTTTGATATTCTGTATAGCTTTGTATCTTATTTCTATAAATTTGTATTTTTAATTGAAATTATGTTTGTTTGTTTGTATAAGCTTGTATGTTCTTTGGGTTTATGTTTTAATTTTAAGTAGCTACAGCGTCACTTGTTGTAAGAGAAGGTTTTTATACACCACTTGTTATTTTTCTATTTGTGTAGGTATAATAAAATCGTAATAAATTGATGAATTTAATTATGATAAAATGTTTGGGTGTTTTTTTTTCATTTTAATCCTTCTAATTTAAATAATAAATATCCTGTTTATTTAGATTATATAGATAGAGCATCGAATCTCTAAAACGGGTTAACTTTTTGTCAGCTAATTGTCAAATTGGCTGATATCGTTTTTTATCAGTGTTCTATGTATATACTTACGCACTTAATGTATCTTGACGTATCAATATTTAATTATATAATAAATAAAATGAGTTTTTGCAATGTAAGAAGTTGCAGAATTTATAAAACAAAATAAATATAGAAGTTATAAAGGAAACGCTCATAACTATTTATCACGCAAAATTGTATGAAAAAGTTGACCCGCTTTTCTCGAAACATTTGTATGGAGACACTCTATCTATATAATCTAAGTCTGTTTAATGTAAAGACAATATAGTTTGTTATTTAATAATTTATTTCCATATTTATATTTATATCTAATATATAAAAATATATCTCGTATCATGATGTTTGTGGTCGAACTCTGAAACGGCTCAACCGATTTTTATGAAGTTTTTATATGTATATTTGGTAGGTATGAGACTAGATTATAAAGTACATTTCATACCGCCAAGTGGTTAGGTCGACCCTATTCAGAAAAAAAATATTTAAATGGCTGAACAATGGTTTCGGTTTGAAGGGTGGGATATGGCAGTGAATTTACAAGATACAGAGGAATAACACCGTCTTCAGGAATGGTAACGCATAGGGGGTATCATGGGCGAAACAGTATACTCTGTTATGTCCACGGTACTGCTCATGTCTATAGGCGACGGATACCACTTTCCATCAGGTGGGCCGTCAGCTTGTTTGCCATTCTAAGCTAACTATAATTGAAGTCTTTATTTGTGGAACATTATCGTAAATTATTTGACATAAAGAGACACTCCTATTTTATAAGTGTATTGTTATTATATTTTTTATATGAACAATACCTAGCAAGGGGCATAGTTTGAAGATATTACAAAACGAATAATATATATATATATATATATATATATATATATATATATATATATATATATATATATATATATATATATATATATATATATAACTGACCTACGTGACACGTGCGTCAATCACGTTTCAGTGCAAAACGACTCATAGTACTAGGAAATCATGAAAACTCAACAGTTCCCCGTCGATTTTCCGACTATTTTCTGCGATTACTTCACTGAAGTCGAGGCGTCGCGCTCGAGCCGATTCATATGTTAGTTGAATAGCGACCGTCGTGCGGAGCGTACGCGCGTCACCCTCCCGCCGTCTCCTACGAACCCGAACACGTATTTGCACCCCGAACGAACTATGAGGAATCATTCACAAATATAAGTGCTTTATTTTTTTTTTTATTCACCTGTGAAGTGACAAGTTGACGATGGCGTGGTTTTTATGTGTATTATTGTGCGCGTGCGCCGGTGTAATGGGGTTTAATGTTGATATACCCTCAAGGGTGGTTTACACTGGCGAATCCAAGTCTATGTTTGGTTTCACTGTGCAATCACACGTGGAAGGTCAAAGAAAAAGGTATGTTATATATATAATATGTAAATAATAACTCGCCTACATGTTAATTTGTTACTATTATTAAATCGTCATTTGTATAAAAAGATGATTTGGCCGTTAACGTATTTTCTGTTGTGACATCTGTTTAGTATTTAATTATAAACTTCCTCCTCAAATATCGTCTTCATTTTAATTTCTAATTCGATAGTAATTTTTTTTTAAATTTTTGTGCATATTCACGTTATCCGCCAATTCTACGATTTCGATGATTCTTTTTTTTTATTAAATAGGTTTAGTTCTGTGTTAATTATACATTTTTTTTCTGTGTTAATATTGTTAAGATCGATCTATTATACTGTGGAAATATTTATTTATTTAAAATTGATATTTTTTTTATACAACTTAGTATGGCAAACAAGCTGACGGCCCACCTGATGGAAAGTGGTAAACGTCACCTATAGACATGAGCAGTACCATGTACATAACATAATATAGTATAAGTGTAACATAAGTCTATAGTAAACACCATAGTTTATTTCAATAAATCGGTCAAGTGCAAAAGTACAATTCGCACACGAAGGGTTCCGTGTATTCCCGAATTAAATAAAAATCAACAAAAAGAACTATTGCTGGCTTTATTTATATATTTATTTTGTAATAAATATATTTAGATTGTAATATTCATTGGTAAAGAACAGAATACTCTCACTGCGCAGTTCTCAAAATTTCTTTATAGCATTTAAACAAATTTCGAGTTCATAACATACAGACAGACATCTTTACAACAATAATACTATATTATACATAATTCTAAAAAGTCACGTATAAATTTATAAAAAAAAATGCATATTCTACATAAATGATGATCTCCGATGACATTAAAAATTTAATCACACCAGGATACGAATGGGCCATCGACCTTAGGTTGTCGTACGATATAAAATAATATTATTTTTAATTTGTCATTGTTAGCGCGTCGTTCGTAAATAAAAATCATTACGAAAAAAAAATAGATATAAAATATTTTTTTTTAAGGGTGATAATGGAATGGTAACCCTACCCACGCTATTGGTATACACCGGCGGGGCACCAGTGAAAGATGATAGGTGAGGATGGACTCACCTAGTCACGATAAGCTAACAGACCTCGCAGGTCTGTAAGCTTATCGTGACGAATTCAACAAGAATTGTTCATGATGGTTTCCAGGGGGAACCACGTGGAGGTCGACCTGATAGGGCATATTGCTAGCAATGGGGCTGTCAAACTCTATTGTTAACAATCTCTTTCCCCCAAAAATATGCACTTGGCAGCCCTGAAACGTCCTCAGTCAGTAAAAAATGTCTCGGTCGGGGGGAAAGGGATTGTTAGTAATTGAGTCTAAGAATCCCATTGCTAGCAATATACCAGGTCGACCTCCTTACGGCTCTCCCTAAAAAAAAACGTTCATGCTCACTTTTTTACTTTATCCAAGCAGTAAGTAAAATACTTACTTACGTGTATTATATGTCATATATGTGTAAGTATATTTGTTATTTATATATATTTATTCGTTTCTATATGTAATTTTAGTATGTATGTATATCAATAATTACTAGTACCGCATTCGAGTATTCTGACACTTCCCTGTGGTTGACTGGGATAGAATGCTTTTAGCATTAAGTCCGCCATGTACACATATTTGTACTAATGAATAAATAAATAAATAAAATAATCGCCATCGATGCGAATCGATTCCGATGTGAGTGTGCTAAAAATCACATTCGCATCGTGACGATGATGTCATGCGTTATATTTTGTTTACACAGTCAGCGGTCATACGAAACGTCTGGCACGGATATCACGGAGTAATGAGAGCTCTCAGTTTAATTGTATTATTGTTCAATAACGTCGCCGATATTACTGAGAGACCTCAAAGGTCACGAACCCGTGCTTCCGTTCAACATCTTCTTATATATAAAATTCTCGTGTCACGGTGTTTGTTACCAAACTCCTCCGAAACGGCTTTACCGATTTTTATGAAATTTTGTGTGCATATCGGGTAGGTCTGAGAATCGGCCAACATCTATTTTTCATACCCTACAATGATAAGGGTGACCCTCCCCAAAAAAAAATTTTATAAATCCTTTTTTTTGATGGGTGAAAATGGAATGGTAACCCCGCCTGCGCTAACGGGATACGCTGAGGGAAAAGGGATTATTAGTAATGTGGACTACTAGTCCCATTGCTAGCAATATACCCTACCAGGTCGACCTCCACGTGGTCCCCCTGGAAACAATCGTGCTGAATTCCAGATGCATTAATCACGATGGACTAACTGACCTGCCTTTTCATTCTCACCTATCATCCCTTACTGGTGCCCCGCCAGCGTATACCGATAGCGCAGGTGGGGTTACCATTCCATTATCATCTATTGAAAAAAAAAAGGGGTCACGCTGGCGGGGTACCAGTGAAGGGTGATCGATGAGAATGAAAACAGATCAGTTAGCCCATCATGATGAATTCACAAGTAACTAACCATGATAGTTTCCAGAGGGAACCGCGAGGAGGTCGACCTGGTTGGGTATATTGCTAGCAATGGGATTCTCAGTCTCCATTACTAACAATCCCTTTCCCCCCGATACTCGCTTGTTAGGACACTCATGGGAAGGAAAAGGGTGGCCTATCTATGCAGGGCCTAACTGCGGTTTACAAATTGCCTTCTAAACGTGACAATTGCTGGCAATATTCCCCTAAGGGGGAGGTTTAGCAGTGGACAGTTAACAGCTGGTATCATCGTCATCATCATAAATATAGCTATCAATATCCCATGCTAGCAATAGCAATGGGCTTCTCAGTCTCCATTACAAACAATCCCTTTCCCCCCCAACTGACGGAGTTATGAGGTAGCAAACTTAAAAAAAATATAATTTAATTTAGAATCTCCTTTTTGAAGTCGGTTGTTAATGGACAAATATTCTTGTCAGTCATCGCAAGTGTCTGGAAACGTTTTATGACGGTACTGCAAATATGTTATTATCTACAAGGAAGTTAGAACTAATGGCGATGCTTGATAATAAATAGTTAACATTTTTTAACTATGTCTATTATATATATATATATATATATATATATATATATATATATATATATATATATATATATATATATATATATATATATATATATTTATACAACTTAGAATGGCAAACAAGTTGACGGCCCACCTGATGGAAAGTGGTAACCGTCGTCTATAGACATGAGCAGTACCATGGACATAACAGAGTATACTATTTCGCCCATGATACTCCCCATGCGTTGCCATTCCTGAGGACTCAGGTGTTATTCCTCTGTACCCTGTAAATTCACGCCATATCCCACCCTTCAAACCGAAACACAGCCATGCAAACACAACTGCTTCACGGTAGAAACACGAATGGGACAGAGGTACCCAAGCAATCGACTTTTGTACAAAGTCTCCCTCTATATATATATAATGATGATACCAAATTTACTAGAGACTGGTTAAGCCGTTAAGGCGCTAATAGGTAACATACAAACAAACTTTCACATTTATAATATTAGTAAGGATTAGAAAGATTAAGTGTGCAGCATGAGTCATTTTCTTTGTAGTGTATTTGTCATACTTTGCCCACCTAATAGTGCGTGCCACAAATATTGTTCAGCTATACACGTTGCTAATCGTTACGAATTGGGGGAAGGGATTGTTAGTAATGGGGAGGTTAGTCCCCATTGCTATCAGTATACCCTATCATGTTTACCTCTAAGCGGTTCTCTATGGAAACTATCGTGACAAGCTTATCGTTGAATTCGTCACGACGGGTTAGCTGATCTGCTCTTCATCCTTATCAGTCATCTGTCACTGGTGCCCCGCCAGTGTATACCGATAGAGCAAGCGAGGTACCATGCCATTTTCACTCATTAAAAAAATCGTTAGATTAGAAAGATTTATTTGCCAGAACATTGTTTTTATTTTAATTGGTTTATTGTGAAGTATTGGCTTATAGTCTAAAACATGCAAATTCATTATTGGCCAGGTCCAAGTTATTATACTTAGCATTATTACATCGATTATTCATTCGATTAATAATAATAAAATCATAATAGTATTATAAAAAATCAACGAACGAACGCGCTGACATTTCCAAGCAACATGTATGTTTACATAACAAATATATTTTGGTCAGCAAAGAAGTGTGACTATACCGTGAATCATCATCATCGTTCGTCGTGTGATCTTGGCATTTATTTATTTATATTTACCAACTAACTTGACAGTTTCCCAATTTGATCCCTTAGCAATCACAATATATGTACAAACATAATAACATTTAATTATTGGACACTTTCTAAATAATTTAATTCCATTCTGCCATTGTTATAGAATTGGCTAGGTCTTCTTTTCTCGTGGGCATCGTAAGAGGCGATTAAGGGAACTTAATGGTCGAAGAAGTAGCAACGTTCCTGAAAGTCTAGTTAAACATAGACCTCCCCCATAAGGGAAGCCAAAATTGTTTCTTTATGTAAATTTTATTTGAGTAGTGTTGAATTATCTTGTTCAGATTTATAATAGAAAATATTTATTTACTTAATTGTTAATTCACCAACAACTTAAACATTAAAACTCATAAATACATAGATAAAAAGAAAAAAAAATATATATATTTAGAAAATGAATATAAGTTATAAAAATAATATTTGTAAAAGTTACTTATAGACAGATATTACTTTTTGTACATTCAATAGATAGATGCAATATGTATAATTTAAACATTAACACTGACAAATACATAGTTTATCTAAATAAATAAATAATAATATAACATGGTAAATGTGTCTATACATATGTATAAAATGAATATAAATTTTAAAAATCATATGTGTTAATATGTAAGTTAATTATAGGCAGATATAAATTTTTAGTACATAGATATCAATGTGTATTTAATAGATAGATCCAATGTGTATTAACTATTAGGTATTTAATGTTATTTCACAATGTGCCCTTTGTTGCTTTTTAATTT